TTTAATCATTAATTAAAAGCCATTTGTTGTTGTTGTTAGGAGAGCTCACGTCCTGCCTCTGGTCCAGTCATCCCCTGCATCACTTGTCAGAAGGAAGTTCCCTTTTCAGAGATGAAGCTGCACAGATTGAGCTGCAATGGGTATGTACTTCTTAAAGCAATGCAAGGGTAGCATAATTTATTTTCTTTGGGAATATGTCTCTCTTATTGTTGTGCACACAAATAAGCGAGTATGACCATCATTTCAATTGTGTTAACTTCAAGGACACCCATGCAGGAATCAGAAAGAGAACAAGAGGGAGGCCAAAGTGAAGAAAATGATAGTGAGACAGCCCTAGTCAGTGACAGTGTTCCAGTGAGGCCTGAAACATCAGCTGAGAGTGCAGTAGTACCGGCAGTGATTGTCAACGAGGAGTTGGATCGCAAAGAAACAGACAGTGGTTTGTGTCATCACAATAGTGTTGCTATAAGATTGTGTGTAACTGAAAAGTTAATAGAAAGATAACACCTGTAGGATATAATTAGATAAGATAATACAGTTACAGACAATTAATAACATGCAACTGGGTTTTTCTATTTTTCTAATATTTAGTTGTAGTTGTTTAGTAGTGCTGTTTTTATGTCAACTCAGCGTTGTGACAGGTTCTGAAGATGTTGGGTCTCACGTTTTGTCAGTGAAATGAACAGAATTTTCCTCCTGTTCTGTAGAGTGAGAGGATATCTGTATATGCAGGTAACATGCCAACTCACAATATGTCTCTCTGTAATAGATAACTTTATTGTTGTTGTTTGTTTAGAATGGAAGCTTATTAAAGAACCCACTCAAGCTGCCAAAGTTTTCAAAGAGAATCTGCTAAGGGAACATGCAACTGGGAAACCACTTAGAATGAAGATGGATGTAAGGGACTCTGAAGAGGACAGGGAACGGGAGCTTCTCTTATTCTATAAACAGCAGCAAGAATGGGCATGTCCACTTCATTGTACTCTGGTTGGTAAGTAATATAACATTTATAATATAAATACATCAGTACAGTTTATACCACTCAAGTAGCTTATATGGAATTGTTAAATGGGAGAATGGAATGCACAAAATTATATAATTGATAAAAATGTTATATGTATGTATGTGAATATTGTGCACAATATACTCTTGTTATCTGGAATAATCAATATTAAGGATGCTATTCTAGAATTACAGCCAATAGAAGTTTTTCTCCCTTTCTTGTTAAATGTTACCAAATCCAGTTACCTGTATTAGGCCGCCACTTTTTTTCCAGTGTTATTATCAGTATTTTATTTCAGGTGATGTTGCTATCGGAGAGGGAGTGATGCGGTACTTTATGACAACAATCATATCCAAACTCCAGTTTGGATTCAGTCTAGATCTTGGTAAGTATCTTACTAATTTTTTGAAGGTTAATCCATCTATAAATTGCAGAAATGTCTGTCTGTAGCGCATGTCTCTCAGTTAGTCCGATGGATTTCAAACTTGACAGGTGTCTTGCTCTGGTCACGAGTAAGTGCAGTGCCAAGTTTGACGACGTTTGGATAAACGCAAAAGATAGCGTTACATATATAGGTAAAAGAAGCACACATTGGCTTTTGCCGCTCTTGCTGCTTGCCATTCTCACACTGCATGCAACGCTGACTGAGCACCTGTTTGTGTCGTGACTCACTCTACACCGCCTCTCTCTATGCGCGCGCACACACACACACGCGTACACGTACGTTCTGGTGGTTGATGAACGCGGATATGTGCTGTTTAGCGGAGGGCCGGTGGGCAATGTTTTGTGTCAGTTAAGTCTGTAGTAGGGAATACAGGGGAATTGAATTTGAAGTGGTTTGGGGTCCTTCTGTAAGTCATTTTGGAGTAGGCTACAATTTGGTTTAAGTGAATTCTACAAGCAGCAATACCACAGGCCAAGTAATCGCCACTAGTATGATGTAATATATCTATCTATCTATCTATCTATCTATCATACATTTTTATTTAATGTATTTAAGAGGTTAATTGTTGTGACTTTATTCCCTGCTCTCTTGGTACTTTACAGGAGGAATGGGCCGAACACTGCTATTTGAGGGTGAACCTGACCATCTTGTTCCAGCAGCATCAGAGGCACTTATTGAAAGCAACCTCTTCCGGGTTGCAGGAAGGATGTTGGGCCACACCTTTCTGCATGATGGTCCCCATGTCACAGGACTAAGTCCTGCTGTAATTCATGTACTGTTCAATGGGGACCCTGAAATGGCTACTGTTGTTACAGAAGACTGTCCTGATCTGCACATCAGGAGCATCATAGAACTGGTATGTAACCTAAAAGAAACTTTGCCATGTAAAAAATATTGCTTGGGCAGATATAATAACTTGTATGGTCTTAATTCTAGCTTGAACATGAAGATCTTACACCGGAACAGAAGGACACAGTTTCAGATCTTTCCATGTCTTGGGATCTTCCGGAATTGACACAAGTTCAGTGTCTTTGAAAACATTAACACACTGTGCAGTAGTTGACTTTTTTTTCTTCCATTTACTAAAATCAAACTGTTCTGCACCTTCAGTGCTAACAGTACAGCATTCATGTTAGTCATTCTGTGGACCATAATGAGACAGGAAGCTTCAAAGAAACAGCTTTTTTTCCTTTCTTTTAAAAGGAAAGTAAACTTTCAGTTTTTCCTTGCTTGTTCTAACACAACAAATAAAAACATGGGTTGGACATCAGTCTAAGATTCTTGATAACACTTCCACAGTCTCTACATATAGTCTAAGTGCATCAGTAACAGAAACTCCTGGAGCTGGCAAAATTGCAACCTCTTCATCTGAGAGCTCACGGGCCAGCTGAACCTCGGGGACTGACACAGTGCCTCGATGAAGGCAGTGAGGTCCGTTCCAATCGATCCCATATTCTTCAGGAACCTGAATGGATGACAAGCATAATCAGTCTTGTACTTAAAACTAGTTTGACATGTCCTTACACAAGATTGTTATTTTTGGTCACCAAGGCAGTGAGAAATGAAATGTTACTTATTCAGTTTTTTAAAATAATACAGCTTTGCATAGTATGCACTGTAGAAACTACAGCTCACAGGTTGATCTTTAAAAGCTCGGGAGATTTTAAAGAGACAATAATCTATAGTAAATGTTTCATTTAAAGTATCTATATACACATACATACATACATATACATACATACATACATACATATATTTATATATATATATATATATATATACATACACACATATATATACACATATACATATATATACACATATACATATATATACACACATATATAGATAGATAGATAGATAGATAGATAGATAGATAGATAGATAGATAGATAGATACCACATGCTCGAACAGAGATGACCTGAGATTTTTTGCCTCCTATGATATTTTGCTTTTCTATGATTATATTATACCCTTTACAGCAGGGGCACATCCGGACAGCTGAGAATATTACTGTCAGATATTGTTCCACCTCTATTAAACAGGAGGCTAAAAATCACAGGACATGTCTATCCTGATGATACAAGTCAGCTGTCCTGAAATGTGTGTTTCTCTTCACATTTCTTCTACACATTCTACATCTCAGAGGCGATGTCTTTCCATAAGCGGGCTTCCTTCACCTTTCAAAGGGGCAGAGCTCCAAATTAAAAATACATTTAAATAATGCCCATATTATTATCTACTCACTTGGAACATGCACACCTCTTGCATTCAGGTGACCACGCATTAGCTTGTAGCCGGTGTTTGGATGACTTCTGTGAATTTCACTTACAATACGGTCTAACTCCTCATCATTCACAGCTGAATAGAGATCTGTCTTTCTGTACAAACAAGAAAAACACAACATCAAGTAATGTTACCTTAAACGTCATATTCTTTCCGAGTGTATGAGAGCAGCAATTCATAAACAGAAAACTCATGAATTTAGTGTAAATACCTTAAACTGTATTGTTGCATGCGCCTCCTGATGGTCCTCTTTGACACACCGAACATCGCTGCAATTTGAACTGCGGGAACTCCACAAAGAAGTTGATGCTCCAGAACTGCACTCGGTATGTCAAACGCCAAACGCCCCGGTCCCTGTGTGTGTTGGGCCTGAAGTGCCCTGGTACCAGAGAAGCGGTGGACAACTTCTTCTAGATTTGCAATCACTCTGTGGTCGATATCTTCGTCGGAAAGTGCGGAAATGACTCCAACAACTTCAATAAGTTCCTCTGCTTTACTAGCTACATGCTCTGGGTCAGCAGGTCCTGCTTCTACATCCTCTGCTAAGTTTAAAACGTCTCTAACCAACTCCCTGGAAAGTTCACGGAGATCCTCCATTGTCTCTATCCGGGTTGGCCTACTCTACTTCAGACCAAAGCAATGGATCAGACTAGATTCGCGTTAGCCCCGCCCACTGACTTTGATGGGTCAGTTTGACAGTTTTAAGTAATTCATGAATCACTGCAATGCAGGATCATGAAATGTAAATGTAAATAGTGAAATAATTATATATGTATTTTACATAAAATGAATCGGTATTTGAATTAATTAATGATACATTTAATTACACATTTATGTATTTAATTCTAATTTTAATTAATTAATGACACATTTAATTAATTAATGACACATTTAAGTAATTATTTAATGGTGTATTTATTTATTTAATTGTGGCACTTTTAGTCCTCCATAATAGCCTACTCACACAACCTTGTAACAAACGTTGTGTGTGAGGGGAAGAAAGATGTGCTAAAAGTGGTTTATATTGCCCCCTAGTGCATATGGGTATGTGCGACGCTTGATGGCTCCAGAACACTGCAAGCAAATCTTGAAACGTCATCGATGTTTATGAAAAACTTATGTTCCCCTCCCCTTCCTATTCCCGGGATATAACGGGATACTTGCAGTCAGAAACAGACGAGCTTTTTCCGTTTAACCCGACCGCCACACCCCTTACTAGGGGAGGGATTTTAGCCCCGTGGCGTCGCCAGGAGAAGAGAGAGGAGATGGGAGAGAGTGACAGTGACAAAGTGAAAAATGAGTTGGGAGTCCGAGTAAGGATAGCAGGACAGCGCCCATGCTGAAATAGGATAGGCCTACCTTTTTATTCTCACATCGAAACATTGGACTCGTGTGCTCCGGTCGGAATAACGGCGAATGAAACATCGGATCATATGGACATGTACGTAACAACAGCAACTTGTAAGAATCGTTTCCCTTTTCTGTTCTATTGAGGGGGGTTGCATCCATAGCTTAATTTACAGTTTACAGTATTATTTACGGCTTTCTCAAACTCTTCCGCTATGTGGCAAAGTGACAGTGTGAGCCAGATTGCGCATAAGAAGATATTCTGGTAGGCTATTAAACGTATTTAACTATGCTTGGTTTAGTTCAAATTGAGAGCGTCAAGTCACTTTCTTTTTTTTCATTCTACCGGACAGTGGGGGGTTGGACATTTTTGCCCGGTTGGGAGTTACGGGGTGTACGGGGATTTGGGGTTGGGGAGAATATGTCATGCTGTGGTTATCATCCATATCGTGACCAACAATGAACCACTGGCGCTAGAGCAGGATCTCTAGTTTACCGGGTGGCAAACTTTGAGGCAATGTTCCAACTCAGTGGAGCATCCTAAACGCTGCGTAAATGCGCTGTTTTGGCGTTGTTCGCCATGGCCTATACCGTCCATGTATGTCTGTGTCTTCGACGATAATCCCGTAATCTCTAATCCGAAGTACTTCAACTACTTTTTTTCACACCACTGGGTGTCTGTCAATCTGTCTATGGGTTTCTCTCCATCTCTCCACATGGTCCTTCCTTTAGAATCTGTGTTAAAGAGTTTATTCATGAAGGGGATCAGTCCCCATCACCCCTACCCTGAATTTAACTTTTACCACCATTGTCAAAACAGACAGCATGGCCCTGCTGGTGTAGTGGAAAATAGTTTGAATGAATTTATGACAGAGCTCCACATGCATAACAGTGCAAGGCCACTGTCTCACAATGATGACCTCATGGTATCATTGAATTAATTAATCTCTTCACTGACTACATTATTACTATAATCTGTAATCCTAACCCTTTTTAGGGAGATTGTTCACAAAAAGGCTAATAGTGTCTTGTAAATCTGTAGTAAGTCTTACAAAGTTATAGTGGAGTAAGTCATGCAGTAGGTTACAGCAGGATGGTCAAGAAATATTGGATGGTTTGCATAAGAACCATAGAGTATGGCTTCGTGTGTGTGTGTGTGTGTATTTGTGTGTGAGAGTGGCCTGCTGCTCATGCGCTAGCCTGCTGAGTGTGTGGGAACAGCTCTATGGAAACTCAGCCTTGTGGGGTAATTCTTACAATCTGTCCTTTGTGTGTGAGTCGCCTGTGGAGAGGATTAATAATAGCTAATGATCCCATCAGCTGCTCACGAACACTGGTGAAGAAAGGGGTACACACACAGAAAAACATAAACATCACAAATATAGATATACTGCAGTCTACACCTGGAGCAAGAGGTGGCACTGGCAGGGATTGAGTTTCGGGGTGTGTGTGTTTGGAGGTTAATGTGTCTGAGATGAGAGGTGTATGTGGGGGGCTGCTATGTTTTGTGTACGTGTGTTTGTGTATGTCTATGTTAGTGAATGTGTTGGCTGGTAAAAAATAAAATCCATAAAATGTAATAAAGACAACCTTCATTTATCAGATTTGTTACTCAAACCACACCTCTATCCAAAACTAAACCTAACCTTGACTAACCCAAGCTAATCCTCTCAGCGTCCGGCTTGGATTAAGGATTCAACTGTACGCTTGGAGTTCATCATGGTCTAAGGATTTCACAATCTTAGACCAGAAAACACTTGGGCAGTTCCATGGTGATGGTAGAGGTTGCATGTGTACATTATATTGTTGTACATTAAATAGGCTTCAAATTAATATTATTTTAGTTTATCTGTCCGTCCTTCACTCCCTCGCTCTCTCTGCCAGCCACTTACTCTCTCACAGAAACACCCAACCGTAAAGATGCAGGTTATAGTAAGGGTAACTAACACTGTTTGGGATAGCAAATGGTAATAAGTGGTTTGAGTGTTCTGTGTAAAAGGTAGACTACTGCTGAGCCGTCATGTCAGTTTCATCTACAGGCGTGTGGAGTTTTAGCCTCAGCTCATTTACTGAACCTTTGTGTTAATTTAGGTTTGGCCTTCGCTGGCCTAAGTAAGATCAGGTTTAGCCTTTAATCCTTTTGTGTTACTGTCTTATCATAGCTAAGACACCTACCCTGTGAGGTGGCTGTAATGTATATTACGCTCTGTTCTTGGAGAGGCGCTGTTTATGGTGACTGCATGTGGCTGGTGTCTTGCTTGTTTAGACTGATATTGGATCCTCTTTTCCAGAGTACTTCAACCAGAACATTTTGGAGTGTGTGTAATGCGTATGACACAGTGGACATACATGCAATCTATCAAATGCCTGGAATATATGAGCAGGAGGAAGAGTGGCAGTTTTACACTCTTTTACACACACATACTCATGTGTACACTTGCACACTCAGATGGTTTTATATTCCTGGCCCAAGCTCCTCTGTAGAATTTCCTGTGTAGAGTCGGCCATCAGACTTCCTGTATTCAGGATTGGATGCAGAGGGGGAGGAACCGGGGTAATGGGAAACAGGGAAGGAAAGGAGAGAGAGAGGAAGCCAAAGCACAGAGTGTTTGCTGGAGTCAGTGTTGGTTGTTGTGGTTGTTGAGCTATGTACAATGCAGCCACACAGCATTGGACACGACACATGAGACAAGCTCTGAGGGAAGGAGGGGAGGTAAGTGAGTGGGAGCTAGGCAATGGTCTGTTAAATGGCTCTCCTTCCCCATACGCATTTTGCCTTCTACAATATCACTTATCTAGTCCTTTCTCATCAACGGTCATGAAGGAAAGGTGATTAGGAAAGGATGTTTTTGAAAATAGGCCATGGAGTGAGATGGAGTGTGGTAGAGAGTAAGGGGAGAGAGAGAGTGTGTGTGTGCAACCTGTAATGTCTTCCCTCCTGTTCCTTTACAGGATGTGTCCTCGGATCTGTGTAAGCCACACCGCCGTACTAAGTCCTCCCAGCATGCAGTAGGGGCGGTCCACCTTAACTCCACAGGTAAGACACACAAACACTCAATCACACGCACACACACAGACTCTCCAGACCTGACTGCTGGAACACACTGACGGCTGGCGCGCAGACAAAAGCAAGTCCATCCTGCAGTGTCTGTGAACTGTGACCTTATCTTCCTCATTGAGCCAAATCTACTCATTGGCAGTAGTGAGTCTGTGTATGTCTGGCTGCCTGTGTGTGTATGTACTAGCCACTTATCGTCTTCACCCCGTGTGGAGTATGAAGCCACTACGTGCAAACACCATTGCATGTGTGTGTGTTATTGTCTCTCTCTTAATCTTCAGTACTCCACTATGTCTATTACAAAGTATCTTTCCCTCTCTGTGATTAGTTCACGGTATTGCCCTCTAAAGGAACCAGGATGTTTACAGGTTCTACCAAGAACCCAACCCCTAAAATACCTCAGCCTGAGCGGCTGGACGAGGTGTACTCCGCACTGAGGAGAGGTCTACAGTGAGTACACACACACACAGACACACACACACACACACGACTGGCCTGGCTGTTGTAGTAGACAGGTCAACAGCGAGACAGGAAAGGGTTCAAATGACATCACAATGCTGTGTTCTCAGGTCATACCTGCAGGTCCACCAGCTGGAGCTGGACAGCCTGGGGCAGCAGATCAGAGAGTGCAAGAGAAATGGCCGTCTGGTGAGAACACACACCACCAATCACACCAGTCTGACCAGTACTAACCCATCATCACCACACTGGCCACTGCCACTCGCACCATCCCACTTAGGGGACATTTCATTTCTCAGGACATTCTGTTAGAGTGATACTGTGTGCATGGTGATGTTAACTGTTATATGCCTCCCTTCCTCTCTCTGCAGGGGTCTCTGTATGAGTTGGATAAGGTGGGTTTCAATCACACCAGGGGAGATGACTGTATTAATTCACGACTCTATTAATAAACAAATGAATATGTACATTTTGGGTTGATTTAATTACTGAATAACTTGTCTTTGATCTTTGTGCTTTATCAGCAAGTGAAGGCCATAGAGAGATTTATGCGCCGCTTGGAGTTCCATCTCAGCAAGGTATGACTTTGTGTGTGTGTGTGTGTGTGTGTGTGTGTGTGTGTGCATCTGCAGTGCAGTAAGATGCCTGTTAGCCATACATTTGTCATAGTGTTGTCATAATGTTGTAACTACAGAGTAAACTCTGTTTTGTTATAGTGTAACCATCTCTAATACTGTATTTGATGGCAGATTAAGGAGCTTTACAGGTCTGCATCACCATAGTGTTTCTGCACAGCTTTAACGTTGCTGTAACATTTGTGTAACGTTCCAGGTAGAGGAGCTGTACGATGCGTACTGTATGCAGCGGCGGCTGCGGGATGGGGCCAGTAAGATGGTGGCAGCCTTTAACTCTGCCTCGGGGAGCAAGGAGGCACGGGAGAGCCTGAATGAGGCCAACAGGGGCTACAGGGAGTACACTGAGGTAAGGGGCAGGGGCTTATGGGTACAATGCGGAGACGTGTTAGAGAACAAGGCTATTCGCTCTTTCATAGAGCCTTTTAACGTTTAAAATAGCCGTTTACAGAATGGAAAATAAAGTCAAATAACTCTTGACATAAGTAATTTATCAGAAATAAGAGTTTGACTGCAATGTCATGTTGCTCTGACCACAAACATCACGGATTATCATTGATATGAATTACTCATTCTCTCTCTCGATCTCTCTCGCCTCTCTCTCTGCAGCACATGTGTTCGCTGGAGAGTGAACTGGAGAACCAGATGGGAGAGTTTCACATCAAGATGAAAGGTGAGTCATTTTCTCACCCTCCTCTTCCCCCCCTTTGTTCTGGCCCTCACTCCCATCTGTTCTTACCCCCCCCCCCCCCCTCTCTCTCTCTCTCTCTCTCGCTCTTTCTCGCTCTCATTCTGGTGTTCTCCCTGTATGCATATGTTATGTACTGTAACTGTATGTGTCCTGTATTGCAGGTCTGGTTGGCTATGCGCGGTTGTGTGCAGGAGACCAATATGAGGTGAGAATAGCTAATGGATACACACTCACCTACACCGACACATACACACATACAGTATGCACACACACACACAAGGCACTGATGGTACCCTTGACCCCCAGGTCCTGATGCGTTATGGGCGTCAGCGCTGGCGGATGAAAGGTCGTGTGGAGGTCAGCAGTAAACAGGTGTGGGACAGTGACGACAACGTCTTCCTGCCTCTCATCACAGAGCTCCTGTCAATCAAGGTGAGAAAGCCCTTTGGATGGAGCATGATAGTGTTTATTATCAGTATTTACTGTAAGTAACTCTGGATAAACGTGTTTGTGTTTATAATAACATATATAATAACATATAGTTATTATAAACATGTTTATAATAACTATGTTATTACTGTATTACCATGTTATTATCATATTATTGTACACAAACAGCAAAAATAGCCAGAACTTAACAATAGTCCTAAAAAACATCACTTACCACCACCATTCACCTGACTGTGGTTGTTTGTCCGATGTGGTTGCCAAGGTGACTGAGCTGAAGAGCCTGGCCAATCACGTGGTGGTTGGCAGCGTGTCCTGTGAGACACTCGACCTGTTCTGTCCGCTGCCTCAGACGGTTGCCGTGGATATCAACAACTTGGGGACAGTCAAACTGAACCTAGAGGTCACCTGGAGGTCAGTCTCACCTCAATCATCCCTCTTTACCAGTTCATCCCTGTCTCAGCTCCCTCCCCCTCAACCCCTGTTCTACCTTCATCTACCTCCCCATTCTATTGGTGATAGCCAAACCAGGCCATTTGTGAAGAGAAAGAGTACTGTTTGTGTCAAGACTGACTCATACGTTTGTCAGTAGTAATAACACACGATACGGCTGTTTCTATAATGTAGATCTCTAATGTAAATATCTTGCCCACTCTCACTTTCTCTCTCGCTCGCTCGCTCTCTCACTCACTATCCTCTCTCTCTCAGTCCGTTTGATAAAGATGACCAGACCTCGTCCTCCAGTACGGTTTCCAAGCGTTTTCTGTCCAATCAGAGCCCTCCAGACACACCTTCCATGCGCGAGCAGGTGTTTTATGTGAGTCACACCTTGTCCTCCCTGCCTCTCTCCCCAGCTTTAACCTACGCTTAAGTCAGCTGTTCATAATTGGCTGGAAAACCTAAATATTGTTTTATTGTTGTTATTATAACCATTGATTACTACTCGCTATTATTAGTTTAATTTTGTTCTGTTTCAGCTGCTCCCTGGCTGCTGTGTTTGTAGAGCTAGCAGTGGTGTGTGTGATTGTAGTAAAGGAGTGTGTGAGTGTATCAGTGAGCTGTGTAGGGGTAGGAGAGGAGTGTGTGAGGGTACAAGAGCAAGTTGTGTATTGGTGAGCTATGTAAATGTAGGAGAGGAGTTTGTGAGGATAGGAGTGAGTTGTGTGAGGAGTGGAGATCTGGTTGTGGAGCGAATGAGGGTACCAGTGATATGTGTGAGACCAGAAGTGAGTACGAATGTAGCTGTGGTCCTCTTAGCTGTTTAATAGTGGTTGAGTAGCAGTCCAATTTCTCCCTCCTCTTCCTCGCCGAAGAGCGTTTCTCCTCGGAGCAGGGCCAGACTGGGCCAACGCTGGTCAACGTTGGAAGTGTTCCGTGACACCTTGGCGGACAGGCTCTCTCCACCCAGCCGCGTCCACTCACAGTTGGTGTGTGGCTGCATACAGTTGAAGAAGTGTGGTTGTCTGTAGTTGAAATATGGTGGTTTGGTTAGTGTGTGGTGGTTTGTAGTCATGTTGTGATTTTCAGTGTTCTGTACTTGGTAAATGTGAACTAGCTACTGAGTGAGTCTTGGTCCATGTAGTTTGATCATTGCAATTTTTGTGTAATGCAGTGCCATCTAGGGAATTTGATTATTTTGTCCTGACATTCAGATATATTGAAAATCATGTTTGTATTTAAAGCTTATATTCAGTGCGCAGTTCTGGTGTAATTGTTCTGTCATTAATGGTATTTTTGTTTTCCATGTTTTGTCAGATGGACTTGCCTATTATTGATGACATCTTTCTCTCTTCCTCTGCCCCCACCCCTTCCCTCTCTCATTTCTTGCTCTCTGTAGTCTCTATTGAGGAGACCAGGGGAGCTGGAGAATGGTACAGTCTGGTCAAACTCCTCTGAATCATCAGACGACTCTTCCAGCCCTGCCATGGGACACACACACAGGATGATGGCCACTCACAGCCTGCAAACCACACCCACTATCCAGATCTCCTTCAACCCCCGCCAAGCAAGCGTCTCTACCCCATCCCTCTCGTCCAATCAGGAGGAAGGGGAGTCAGACGCCACCAAGGGATTTGGCGGAACAGACTCTGTGAAGTGTGCACTGCCAAATGGCCATTTGAAGTGTTCTCGATCTCTCAGCCATATCAGCGAGAGAGCCATAGACTGTGCTTCGACTAACAGGTTGTCTGCTCAATCAGTTGAGTCCTCTGAAATGCCAGAACCCCTTCCCCACTTAGACCTTGAAGTCTCCTGTGTGGCTTCTCAATGCTCTAACCAGGACATGCCTGAAGCCTTGGACTTGCCTGAATCTGGGGGCCAAGAGTCATGTGTTTCAACCCCAGTGGATCAGGGTGATGCTCCTCCAGCCTCAACACTGCAGGCCGAGAAGCCTAGGGCTGGGGTAGAGCCTCTTCCCACAGACCGTGTACTGGGAGAGGGACTGAGGGAGGAAAAGTCCTCCACGGAACACAATCACAGACTCCAATCTACCCAGCCACAAGAGCTAACACTACCAGAAGAGACAGTGACTGTGAGTGTATGTGACAGGTGTGTGGGTAGACATGTAATTGTGTGATGTGTGTACTAAGTCTCTTTCCTCCATAGGGTCGATCTCACTATCGGTCCTCCAGCTTCACTCAGGAAGTTGAGACTGCCCTGGAGAGCTTTGATTTTCTCAACTTCTCTGACCTTGACGATGAAGAAGAGGAAGAGAAAGAACAAGAAGTGGAAGAAGATGAACAGAAGAGGGATGAGGAGGAGAAGGATCAAGAGAAGGAAGATGAGACAAGGGACTCTGCTGAGAGGTCAGCATTCCCTTCTCTTATGTATCAGGCTCTAACTGAACTCATCCTGCCAACTAGTGTTTGGAAAGCTGAATGGCACGTGAATTTAGTTGAGTCTGGATGGTGGATTTAGTTTGTATAATACTGGGTGAAGTTGCATAGTGTTATTTTTGAATGTTCTACTCTCACACTTATTTGAATGTGCCCAAATCCTTCATATTCATTTCATAAGACAGAACTGTTTGCTCAATATTTTGTATTACACAGTGAGTCAGAGTCTGTGTGTGAGTGTGTATGTCAGATTAAGTTTGTCAGACTGTGGTCTGTAATATTCTCCTTTTTGCTTTCCTCAGCAGTGAAGAGTGTGAGGACGATGTTATAGAAATCATTGTCGAGGCCCCTGAAGGCTTCCGGAATGAGGACTGTCCTCCTCTAGATGCAGACTGCAGCTCTGAGGTAATGATAATGATCATGGGTTTATGCATGTATAAATAGTGCCTTATGTTTGAGTGTTCTAAACTGTAGGCAACTTTGCATGTAACATTTACATAGGAGGAGGAGAGTAGCGAGCAGCTGCAGGCCTCCAGTGAGACAAAGGACGAGCAGAAGGAAGAACAGGAGAAGGAGGAAGTGGAAGAGGAGGGAGGAGGAGCAGGTTACAGAGACGGATATCCCTGCCACACAGGAGCATGGTGAGAGGGGAGGGTCAACTGCTAACTTGAGAGTGATTTGAAGTGTGAGTGGTGTTGATCGAGATGTGTGTGTGATTTGTATATATTGATTGTGGAGGTGTCATTGGTGGAGAGTAAGTTGTATTTATGCTTCATGCAGGTGATGAGGCATCCTGTGATGATGAACCCAGCTCCTCCACCCCCAGCAGAATGGCCACCACTCTCCTTTAACATAATTGAGATGCCACTTCCCCAGACCATTATCAGATCCCATCCTAATCCCACCACTCTCCTAAGAGATCCATTCCATTTCACGACTAACAGATCAAAGAGCTCCGCTCCTCTTCTAGATCAGACAAGTGATTTCTGCCATGGAGGTGGAGATTGCGCAAATGAACATACATATATTTGCCTCCCTCTCTCCACTCTTGATTGACAACATTAATGACTATTGTTGTCTTGAAAATCCACTCATCCAAAGGCCACACGTACGCACACAGCCACCTTACAGTGAAGATAGGCATCTTTAGTCTAATGGAGCCTCTTCATTCAGAAAGTGCCTCAAGTTACAGAAAGGGGGATTGTCAATTAACGAATACATGAAGAAAATGAACTTTTATTACGAACCAGAGAAGAAAATGAATGGGTATAAAGAAGAGTTTTGATACATTGTTTATTTTCAGGATGACTTACAGATTGTGCACTATAAAAGATACAATTATTTACTGCTTCATATAAATAAATAATGTTGAGCAAATGTGTTGCCTGCTTTCAAATGTTTAAACTTTATTATAAAAAATATGTTGGTAAATCTACTGCATTGGATAGTATTTTTATGAGAGTACTTTCAGTGTGCTTCAAAATCAATATTTGAGAATAACAATAATGAAACAAAACCCCTCAAGTGTTCTGGGCTGGCATCCACTACCCAAAAAGCAGCACTTTTACATCCATGACTTACAGACTTCAACATCTTTCTAAATTGTACTGCCCTCTCCTGGGTCATGATGGAGAGGAGGCCATACAATTTTCCACAATATTATTTTCACCATTAATTAACTTATTGATCATTGGAAGGCGGCATATGGGATATACACAGTGCTTGACTTGGACTAAAATAACTGTCAGCACATTGTTGGTGCTGGTACTGTATATTTTTAGGTGCAGGAGCTCCACAATACTTTTGAGCTAATATATTATAAGAGGAATAGGAGCTAAAGCAGTAGAATGCTTGAGGTGCCGGTACTCGGCTCCAGTGAGCTCCTGCCCAAGTCAAGCACTGGATATACACTCTCATAGCCAGCTTCAATTCTTCCCAGCTCCACAATAACATCTGGTATATAATGAAAGTTACAACATCTTGCACAAACTATTCTTACAAGCTTGCATTTGTGCTGTGGTTGCATGGTAGTCTTTAGTCTTTAAATATTTTGATTTTCATAGTGAAATAGCCCTATTAACGCAAACTAAGTATAGAAAAAATACAACTTCTTTGTCATGTGGAAACAACTGTTCACTCAGACACCACGCCCACGAACGCTGGTATTCGAAACTGGCGCCCAGACGTCACTGCCACACAACTGCTGCGGTACCCCCCTCCCACTTCTCCCGTCGGGCCTCTGCCTGCGCATGCACACTCGCCCGCTCCAGGCCACCATTTTGTGAAGAAACAACTCTACCAAAGCGTGAGAGGATTAATAGCGCTGGGACGTAAGGGCACGCTTCCCTACCGTCGCCAGAGTAAGACCAAACAAGCACTGAGCGCTCAAGCAAATTTACCGGGAAAAGGAAGACGGAGGAGCAGGTAAAACGTTACTTTCTCCGATGAAGGGGGGCATTTTTGTAGGAGCTGTCGTCGGCCTCTAGGTGTCACGATGGGGCTCGCGGTCCAGGCGACTGGCGGGGGGTGTTTGTCTCCCTCTATCGTTATCGAAAATTTACTAAAAACATTTATAACCCAGAAGTTAGAGCTTCTGTTAAACTTATTCGTGTATTTGGACTGCTATTAGTTCGTATTAAGGCACGGATGGCTTTATAAATGCCTTAATGTTTAGGGGATTGTATAGGCCAGGCGTCCATCTTCTCGTGCCCTTTGTTTCCTCTTTTGAGAAGAGAACCCGCGTCTCCGGGTTGTAGGACGAAAGCGCAACATTTCGAGTTTAAACTTTGTATCAATGTAAACTAAATGTTTCCAATCACTCATGGTGCTACACTTTGAAAAAAATTATAATGAATCAATAAATCTCTCCTGTAGTCTTTCAGATTTACTACCTAGTCCCTGATCTGGGTAGTTATTTTAGTCGATGTTCTAGAACAATCCGTTGGTTCTAATATATCAACACTAATTGTGTAATACTTTGGATTCAAGCTATTTTACGGCTTCTCAAAATGGGGCTCTAGTTAAGTAGGTCGGTAACAAGGTAACGTTTCCACAAAGGTTCCCGAGAGTAAACACGGAAGGAGGGAATGTAGAGTAATCTCTTAAATGTAGCCCAAATAAGTGTGCGAGCACGGAGAGTAGATTTCTTCCTAATCAGAAGCTTGATAAGAGTTGGTTTTCTATCATCAGCACCACGTCCCGTCGCGCCAGCCTGGTCCGCCTACAGCCGCCTTTCGATTTAAAACTTGTCATGAGAGAGAGAGCTCCCTCTATAACCTGCACGGTAATGTTACAAAAACATCCGCTATACCGGGGCAAGACACATGAGGGTGAATAGGGTAGGTTCCTTTTACAAGTGAGTTTTTTTATATATAAAAATGATCTGCTTATTTTGTGAGTGTTCTTTTTTTATTGGGACATTGTCAAATGGTCGGTAGATCAGAGAAGTAGGATTAAAGATCAAATAATCATCTTATTGCAATTGTCTTGCATACTTTAAAGTCAGCAGAAACTCTACACCTTTGTTTTCTAAACTGGACTCATTTCATGTAACATGACACCACTCAAGCAGCAATAAACAGAGAGAAGTTAGTAATAACAAAGTTGCCAGTCCCACACCAGTCAATGGCTATGGTTCCCAGGAAAATACACTACATGACCAAAGGTATGTGGACACCTCATTCCAAAATCATGGACATTAATATGGAGTTGGTCCCCCTTTGCTGCTTTAACAGCCTCCACTCTTCAGGGAAGGCTTTCCACTAGATGTTGGAATATTGCTGCGGGGACTTAGTGAGGTCGGACATAGATGTTGGGCGATTAGGCCTGGCTCGCAGTTGGTGTTCCAATTCATCCCAAAGGTGTTTGATGGGGTTGAGGTCAGGACTCTGTGCAGGCCAGTCAAGTTCTTCCACACCGATCTCGACAAACCATTTCTGTATCGCTGAAACAGGAAAGGGCCTTCCCCAAACTGTTGCCACAAAGTTGGAAGCACAGAATCGTCTGCTGCCAGTGTTTGTCTATGGAGATTGCATGGCTGTATGCTCGAATTTATACACTTGTCAGGAACGGGTGTGGCTGAAATAGCCGAATCCACTAATTTGAAGGGGTGTCTACATACCTTTGTGTATATATAGTGTATCAAGTTATTTTTTTAATTCTTCTGGTCTTATCAGGTCACTTTTATGGAGGATGAAGTCGTTTCCATTGAGACCGCTCAGGTCGAGGGTCTCCAGGACAGTGGAGAAGGAGCAGAGCTGCTCCAGACTGCAGAGGCTGCCCTGATGGAGGGGGGTGTGGCACCCCAAGAGGTGACAGGGAATGTTGAAATGATGGTGATGGACACCCTGGACTCGACCCTTGACCCTGCCCTGCTACAGATGAAGACTGAGGTCCTCGAAGGGGGCGGTGCGGTGACGGTCACCGGGGGAGACGAGGGACAGATCATCACCCTGCAGGTTAGTGTGATTTGTGAGTTTACATTGAGAAAGGTTTGGGAAAATGTCCCTTGTAAGCCAAACTTGTAGGCATAAATTATTCAGAGAACTGACTGACCCTGACTGTGTCTTGAATTTAGGTAGTGAACATGGAGGGGAACATGGAACAGACGAGTGCAGCGCTGGGGCTTGGACAGCTGCAGCTGGTGCAGGTCCCTGTCACTACAGCCACCGTGGAAGAGCTCCAGGCCAGCTTCGTTGACGCCTCGGCAGGCAATACTGAGGCAGAGCCAGTGATCTGCCACACCCTCCCTCTGCCCGAGGGCTTCCAGGTCAGACGCTACTCATCTACAAACACACACTTTAAACAAGCACTTTAATATCCTGATTAATGTTTCTATACACACTTTGGCCTGAAGGCTCAGGTGAGATGCACTGACTATAATACAACTCTAACCCCTTCCTGGCAAATTGTTTTTGTCTGGTGAAGGTGGTGAAGGTGGGGGCGAATGGAGAGGTGGAGACAGTTGAACAGGAAGAACTGCAGGCAGCCCAGGATGAGCTCCAGATGACTCATGGGGAGGAGGAGGAGGAGGAAGTTGAGCCCCAGGTAGAGGACCAGACCTGGTCCAAAGACCCAGATTACCAGCCAACTGCTGGCATCCGCAAGGGGAAGAAGGGCAAGAAGAGCCGCCTGCGTTACGGGGAGGGGGAGCGGGACATGGACGTGTCTGTGTATGACTTTGAGGAAGGAGCAGCAGGAGGGGATGCTCTCTGAGGTCAACGCCGAGAAGGTTGTGGGCAACATGAAACCGCCCAAACCAACCAAGATAAAAAAGAAAGGTCAGAGTTGTGTGAAAGGTTATGTTTTGTGTGTATGTGGGGGTATGGCAACCTCTCTCTTTTGGGGGTGTTAATGGTAGACTCTGCGATGACGTAGATGCAGAAAGTAGAACGCATAGTGGGTCAATTTCTGCAACAACTACGAGCGTTGAAGCGCAAGGCTCAACTTCTCTGCTGTTTTGGTCCCGTGGCTACCACACTCTTACCAGCGTGAAGCGACCCTGTGCACATGTGCAGATACTGTGTGTGACAGTGAGCGCGACGTCTTGCATTTCGCTCATCTCAATATCTGCGGTGCTGCCCGTGGCAACGTCATTTCGCTGAGTCTACCTTTAATGTGTTTAATAACCCCTTGTGTCTCTCTCCTTAGGTGTGAAGAAGACGTTCCAGTGTGAGCTGTGTAGCTACACCTGCCCCCGGCGCTCTAACCTGGACCGCCACATGAAGAGCCACACAGATGAGAGGCCGCACAAATGCCACCTGTGTGGGAGGGCCTTCAGAACGGTCACACTGCTGAGGAACCACCTCAACACACACACAGGTATCTACAGACTCACATGCTCAGTCACAGGCTGTTAAAAAAAATTTTTTATCCTTATTGAATGGATAGGGTGTGGGTTACTTATGTTTACTATTGCCCCTTCCCGCTCTCTCTTAGGCACTCGTCCTCATAAATGCCAAGATTGTGACATGGCATTTGTGACTAGTGGAGAGCTGGTGCGTCATCGTCGCTACAAACACACATTCGAGAAACCCTTCAAGTGCTCCATGTGTGACTACGCTAGTGTGGAGGTAAGTACACACGTCTGATCTATGTTTACATGTTATCTAGTAAGAACTCATTTGCAATGTATAACTGAAATGTTTCTGGAATGTCGTTTAACTGTTTGTCTCTCTCTCTCTTTGCCCCAGGTGAGTAAACTGAAGAGACACATCCGCTCCCATACAGGCGAGAGGCCCTTCCAGTGCAGTCTGTGCAGCTATGCCAGCCGAGACACCTACAAACTGAAGAGACACATGAGGACACACTCAGGTAACACATACCCCAATCTCTCAGCCTTACACCTAAATATTCCTGATTTTAGTTTTGTTGATCGATGCTAAAGCTACTTGACCAAAAGTATATGGACACCTGCTCGTCGTACATCTCACTCCATTAATATGGAGTTGGTCCCCCCTTTGTTACTATTACAGCCTCCACTCTTCTGGGAAGGCTTTCCACAAGAGCATTAGTGAGGTCGGGCACTGATGTTGGGCGATTGGGCTTGGCTCGCAGTCGGCGTTACAATTCATCCCAAAGGTGTTCAATGGGGTTGAGGTCAAGTCTCTGTGCTGGCCAGTCAAGTTCTTAACATTTAAGTAATTTAGCAGACACTCTTATCCAGAGTGACTTACAAATTGGTGCATTCAACTTATGATAGCCAGTGGGACAACCACCCTATATTTCTTTTTCTTCTTCTTTTTTTTTATTGGGGGGGGGGGGGGGGTAGAAGGATTTGCGTTCTCCTGGCATCCGCCAAACCTATATTCGTTCTTCGGACTGCCAGATGGTGAAGCGTGATTTTTCACTCCAGAGAACGCGTTTCCACTGCTCCAGAGTCCAATGGCGGCGAGCTTTACACCACTCCAGCCGACGCTAGGCATTGCGCATGGTGTTCTTAGGCTTGTGTGTGGCTGCTTGGCCATGGAAGCTCCCGATGAACAGTTATTGTGCTGACGTTGCTTCCAGAGGCAGTTTGGAACTCGGTAGTGAGTGTTGCAACTGAGGACAGATTATTTTTACACGCTATGCGCTTCAGCACTTGGCGGTCCAGTTCTGTGAGCTTGTGTGGCCTACCACTTGGCGGCTGAGCCGATGCTGCTCCTAGACATTTCCACTTCACAATAACAACACTTATAGTTGACCGGGGCAGCTCTAGCAGGGCAGAAATTTGACGAACTGACTTGTTGGAATGGTGGCGTCCTATGACGGTGCCACGTTGAAAGTCACTGAGCTCTTCAGTAAGGCCATTCTACTGCCAATGTTTGTCTATGGAGATTGCATGGCTGTGTGGTCACTTTTATACACCTGTCAGCAACAGGTGTGGCTTAAATTGCTGAATCCACTAATTTGAAGGGGTGTCCACCTACTTTTGTGTGTATATATAGTGTATCTGCCTCACATACAACCTAATAACCCGTCCCTCTCTCTGGCAGGTGAAAAGCCGTATGAGTGCTACATCTGCCATGCTCGTTTCACACAGAGCGGCACCATGAAGATGCACATCCTGCAGAAGCACACAGAGAATGTGGCCAAATTCCACTGCCCCCACTGTGACACTGTCATCGCCCGCAAGAGCGACCTGGGTAAGCGACTCGCTTGTGCACAGTCATATCTTCTCTGCTGAAATACGGTCTTGTAACTTGAGTGGATCCATCTGTGTTCCTTAAATTTGGATTGGCCCTTCCTTTCTCACTCTCAGGTGTGCACTTGCGGAAGCAGCACTCGTTCATGGAGATGGGCAGGAAGTGTCGTTACTGTGATGCTGTGTTCCACGAGCGTTACGCACTCATCCAGCACCAGAAGTCCCACAAGAATGAGAAGCGCTTCAAGTGCGACCAGTGTGACTATTGCTGCAGACAGGTAAGTGAACGAGACATTCTCTCCTTGTTTCCTGTCTTAACTAATTTGAAACGTTGGATGTCCATCATATATTTGCCATCATCAATCTCAGAGATGAGGAGAAGAGGCCACTAAACTATTGAGATGCATCCCATGGATCTGTTTGGAATTCAGCCGGAGACTGTTCTAGACCTCCGGGTGTGTTCACTGACTGTCCTATGTTTAACCTCTCACCCCTAGGAGCGTCACATGATCATGCACAGACGCACACACACGGGGGAGAAGCCGTACGCCTGCAGCCAATGTGCGAAAACTTTCCGGCAGAAGCAGCTGCTGGACATGCACTTCAAACGCTACCATGACCCCAACTTCATCCCCACTGCCTTCGTCTGCAGCAAGTGTGCCAAGACCTTCACTCGCAGGGTAAGGGGACAACACACATCCACAATGCAGGCTAAAGGACTCATTCACATCCAAACACATATCCTCCCGAGCAGGATACGGGACACTCAAAAACACACACCCTCTCACCAGGTTGGGGAGGATTGAAGCCTAGTTTGCTCCACAGTATGAGTATGTTGTGGTCTTACAGTGCCTTCAGAAAGTATTCATACCCCTTGACTAATTCCACATTTTGTTTTACAGCCTGAATTCAAAATTTAAAAAATTTCCTCACCCATCCACACACAATACCCCATAATGACAGTGAAAACATGTTTTCAGAAATTTTTCCAAATGTATTGAAAATTAAATACTGATATCTAATTTACGTAAGTATTTACACCCCTGAGTCAATACTTTGTAGAATCAAAACAAATGTTATTTCTCACATGCGCCGAATACAACCGGTGTAGACCTTACAGTGAAATGCTTACTTAACCAACAATGCAGTTTTAAGAAAAATAAGTGTTGAGTAAAAAATATATAGATACGTTTTTTTTTAACTATATAACAAACAAATTAAAGAGCAGCAGTAAAATAACAGTAGTGAGGCTATATACAGGGGGTACCGGTACAGTCAATGTGCGGGGGCACAGATTAGTCGACGTAATTGAGGTAAAATGTATACTACCGGTCAAAAGGTTTAGAACACCTACTAATTCAAGGGTTTTTCTTTATTTTTACTGTTTTCTACATTGTAGAATAATAGTGAAGGCATCAAAACTATTAAATAACACATACAGTGGGGGAAAAAAGTATTTAGTCAGCTACCAATTGTGCAAGTTCTCCCACTTAAAAAAATGAGAGAGGCCTGTAATTTTTATCATAGGTACACGTCAACTATGACAGACAAATTGAGATTTTTTTCCTAAAGAAAATCACATTGTAGGATTTTTTATGAATGTATTTGCAAATTATGGTGGAAAATAAGTATTTGGTCACCTACAACAAGCAAGATTTCTGGCTCTCACAGACCTGTAACTTCTTCTTTAAGAGGCTCCTCTGTCCTCCACTCGTTACCTGTATTAATGGCACCTGTTTGAACTTGTTATCAGTATAAAAGACACCTGTCCACAACCTCAAACAGTCACACTCCAAACTCCACTATGGAAAAGACCAAAGAGCTGTCAAAGGACACCAGAAACAAAATTGTAGACCTGCACCAGGCTGGGAAGACTGAATCTGCAATAGGTAAGCAGCTTGGTTTGAAGAAATCAACTGTGGGAGCAAATATTAGGAAATGGAAGACATACAAGACCACTGATAATCTCCCTCGATCTGGGGCTCCACGCAAGATCTCACCCCGTGGGGTCAAAATGATCACAAGAACGGTGAGCAAAAATCCCAGAACCACACGGGGGGACCTAGTGAATGACCTGCAGAGAGCTGGGACCAAAGTAACAAAGCCTACCATCAGTAACACACTACGCCGCCAGGGACTCAAATCCTGCAGTGCCAGACGTGTCCCCCTGCTTAAGCCAGTACATGTCCAGGCCCGACTGAAGTATGCTAGAGTGCATTTGGATGATCCAGAAGAGAATTGGGAGAATGTCATATGGTCAGATGAAACCAAAATATAACTTTTTGGTAAAAACTCAACTCGTCGTGTTTGGAGGACAAAGAATGCTGAGTTGCATCCAAAGAACACCATACCTACTGTGAAGCATGGGGGTGGAAACATCATGCTTTGGGGCTGTTTTTCTGCAAAGGGACCAGGACGACTGATCCGTGTAAAGGAAAGAATGAATGGGGCCATGTATCGTGAGATTTTGAGTGAAAACCTCCTTCCATCAGCAAAGGCATTGAAGATGAAACGTGGCTGGGTCTTTCAGCATGACAATGATCCCAAACACACCGCCCGGGCAACGAAGGAGTGGCTTCGTAAGAAGCATTTCAAGGTCCTGGAGTGGCCTAGCCAGTCTCCAGATCTCAACCCCATAGAAAATCTTTGGAGGGTGTTGAAAGTCTGTGTTGCCCAGCGACAGCCCCAAAACATCACTGCTCTAGAGGAGATCTGCATGGAGGAATGGGCCAAAATACCAGCAACAGTGTGTGAAAACCTTTTGAAGACTTACAGAAAACGTTTGACCTGTGTCATTGCCAACAAAGGGTATATAACAAAGTATTGAGAGAACTTTTGTTTTTGACCAATACTTATTTTCCACCATAATTTGCAAATAAATTCATTAAAAATCCTACAATGTGATTTTCTGGATTTTTTTCCTCATTTTGTCTGTCATAGTTGACGTGTACCTATGATGAAAATTACAGGCCTCTCTCATTTTTTTAAGTGGGAGAACTTGCACAATTGGTAGCTGACTAAATACTTTTTTCCCCCACTGTATAGAATCATGTAGTAACCAAAAAAGTGTTAAACAAATCAAAATATATTTTATGTTTGAGATTCTTCAAATAGCCACCCTTTGCCTTGATGACAGCTTTGCACACTCTTGGCATTCTCTCAACCAGCTTCACCTGGAATGCTTTTCCAACAGTCTTGAAGGAGTTCCCACATATGCTGAGTACTTGTTGGCTGCTTTTCCTTCACTCTGTGGTCCGACTCATCCCAAACCATCTGAATTTGGTTGAGGTCGGGGATTGTGGAGGCCAGGTCATCTGATGCAGCACTCCATCACTCTCCTTCTTGGTAAAATAGCCGTTACACAGCCTGGAGGTGTGTTGGGTCATTGTCCTGTTGAAAAACAAATGATAGTCCCACTAAGCCCAAACCAGATGGGATGGTAGCTGCCGAATTCTGTGGTAGCCATGCTGGTTAAGTGTGCCTTGAATTCTAAATAAATCACAGACAATGTCACCAGCAAAGCACCCCCGCACCTCCACACCATAACACCTCCTCCATGCATTACGTTGGGAAATACACATGCAGAGATCACCCATTCACTCACACAGCGTCTCACAAAGACACAGCGGTTGGAACCAAAAATGTCCACTTTGGACTCTAGACCAAAGGACAAATTTCTACCGGTCTAATGTCTATTGCTCGTGTTTCTTGGCCAAAGCAAGTCCCTCTTCTTATTGGTGTCCTTTAGTAGTGGTTTCTTTGCAGCAATTCGACCATGAAGGCCTGATTCACGCAGTCTCCTCTGAACAGTTGTAGTTGAGATGTGTCTGTTACTTGAACTCTGAAGCATTTATTTGGGCTGCAATTTCTGGGGCTGGTAACTGCAGCAGAGGTACCTTCTGTGGCGGTCCTCATGAGAGCCAGTTTCATCATAGCGCTTGATGGTTTTGGCGACTGCACTTGAAGAAACTTTCAAAGCTCTCGATGGTGCAGCTGTAGAACCTTTTGAGGATCTGAGGACCCATGCCAAATCTTTTCAGTCTCCTGAGGGTAAATAAGCTTTGTCGTGCCCTCTTCACGACTGTCTTGGTGTGTTTGGACCATGATAGGTTTTTGGTGATGTGGACGCCAAGGAACTTGAAGCTCTCAACCTGCCGTACCACAGCCCCGTCGATGAGAATGGGGGCGTGTTTGGTTCTCCTTTTCCTGTAGTCCACAATCATCTCCTTTGTCTTGGTCACGTTGAGGGAGAGGTTGTTATCCTGGCACCACACGGCCAGTCTTCTGACCTCCCTATAGGCTGTCTCATCGTTGTCGTGATCAGGCCTACCACTTTTTGTGTCGTTGGCAAACTTAATGATGGTGGTTGGAGTCCGTGCTTTGGCCATGCAGTCGTGGGTGAACAGGGAGTACAGGTGGGGACTGAGCACGCACCCCTGAGGGGCCCCCGTGTTTGATGATTAGCCGTGGGCAGATGTGTTACCTACCGTTACCACCTGGGGGCGGCCTGTCAGGAAGTCCAGGATCCAGTTGCAGAGGGATGTGTTTAGTCCCAGGGTCCTTGGCTTAGTGATGAGCTTTGAGGGCACTATGGTACTCCTGAGTGGCGCAGTGGTCTAACTGTGCCACTAGAGATCCTGGTCCGAATCCAGGCTCTGTCGCAGCCGGCCGCGACCGGGAGACTCATGGGCGGCGCACATTGGCCCAGCGTCGTCCAGGGTAGGGGAGGGATAGCCGGCAGGGATGTAGCTCAGTTGATAGAGCATGGCGTTTGCAACGCCAGGGTTGTGGGTTCGTTTCCCAGGGGGGGGCCAGTATAAAAATTTTAAAAATATGTATTCACTAACTGTAAGTCGCTCTGGATAAGAGCGTCTGCTAAAATGACTAAAATGTAAATGTAAAAATGTGTTGAACGCTGAGCTGTAGTCAATGAATAGCATTCTCCCGTAGGTGTTCCTTTTGTCCAGGTGGGAAAGGGCAGTGTGGAGTGCAATAGAGATTGCATCATCTGTTGGGGCGGTATGCAAATTGGAGTGGGTCTAGGGTTTCTGGGATAATGGTGTTGATGTGAGCCATAACCAGCCTTTCAAAGCACTTCATGGCTACAGACGTGAGTGCTACGGGTCGGTAGTCATTTAGGCAGGTTACCTTAGTGTTCTTGTGCGCAGGGACTATGGTGGTCTGCTTGAAACATGTTGGTATTACACACTCAGTCAGGGACAGGTTGAAAAAGTCAGTGAAGACACTTGCCAGTTGGTCAGCGCATGCTCGGAGTACACGTCCTGGTAATCCGTCTAGCCCTGCGGCCTTGTGAATGCTGACCTGTTTTAAAGGTCTTACTCACATCGGCTACGGAGAGCGTGATCACAGTTGTCCGGAACAGCTGATGCTCTCATGCATGCTTCAGTGTTGCTTGCCTCGAAGCGAGCATAGAAGTAATTTAGCTCGTCTGGTAGGCTCGTGTCACTGGGTAGCTCGCGGCTGGGCTTCCCTTTGTAGTCCGTAATAGTTTGCAAGCCCTGCCACATCCGACGAGCGTCGGAGCCGGTGTAGTACGATTCAATCTTAGTCCTGTATTGACGCTTTGCCTGTTTGATGGTTCGTCGGAGGGCACAGCGGGATTTCTTATAAGCGTCCGGGTTAGAGTCCCGCTCCTTGAAAGCGACAGGTCTACCCTTTAACTCAGTGCGATGTTGCCTGTAATCCATGACTTCTGGTTTGGGTATGTACGTACAGTCACTGTGGGGACGACGTCATCAATGCACTTATTGATGAAGCCAGTGACTGATGTGGTGTACTCCTCAATGCCATCGGAAGAATCCTGGAACATATTCCAGTCTGTGCTAGCAAAACAGTCCTGTAGCTTAGCATCTGCGTCATCTGACCACTTCTGTATTGAGCGAGTCACTGGTACTTCCTGCTTTAGTTTTTGCGGATATAATTATGGTCAGATTTGCCAAATGGAGGGCGAGGGAGAGCTTTGAACGCTTCTCTGTGTGTGGAGTAAAGGTGGTCTAGAGATTTTTTCAAAAACAAAAATAGTTGTTTCTATCTTTTATCTGGTTGCACATTTAACATGCTGGTAGCAATTAGGTAAAACGGATGTAAATTTCCCTGCATTAAAGTCCCCAGCCACTAGGAGTGCCGCCTCTGGATGAGCATTTTCTTGTGTGCTTATGGCCTTATACAGCTTGTTGAGTGCAGTCTTAGTGCCAGCATGGGTTTGTAGTGGTAAATAGACAGCTACGAAAAATATAGACTCTCTTGGTAAATAATGTGGTCTACAGCTTATCATGAGATACTCTACCTCAGGTGAGCAAAACCTCACGATTTCGTGCACCAGCTGTTATTTACAAATATACACAGACTGCCACCCTTTGTCTTACCGGAGGCAGCTGTTCTATCTTGCCGATGCACCGAAAACCCCGCCAGCTGTATTTTATCCATGTCGTCGTTCAGCCACGACTCTGTGAAACATAAGATATTACAGTTTTTAATGCCCCGCTGGTAGGATGTTCTTGATTGGAGCTCATCCATTTTATTATCCAATGATTGTACGTTGGCTAATAGGACTGATGGTAGAGGCAGATTACCCACTCGCCGTCGGATCCTTACAAGGCACCCCGACCTACGTCCCCGATATCCCCATCTCTTCTTCATGCGAATGACGGGGATTTGGGCGTTGTTGGTTGTTTGAAGTAAATCCTTCGCGTCCGACTCGTTAAAGAAAAAATCTTCGTCCAGTATGAGTTGAGTAATCGCTGTCCTGATATCCAGAAGCTCTTTCCGGTCATAAGAGACGGTGGCAGAAACATGTGGCGTGGCAGAAACATTATGTGGCGACTACAGCTTCATGAGTCGTCTTGGGTATGTCTGTATCAGCTTCTGGATTTGGGGATTTTCTCCCATTTCTTTAACCTTTGTTAAAGAGCCACTGAACACGCCGATTGGCATGTGTGTCTTTCTGTTGCTCATTAAAAATGAGATTTCAGTCTTGGAGATGTTTCCTGACCGATTCCGCATTTGGTTGATGTTTGTCCCCCACGAGTCACTGAATTAATCTAAGAACTCAATAAATCTGTAAAAAATGGTTACGTTTTTGCCGAGGATGTTTTAGTTGCACAATTTTGGTGCAGTATTTCTCAAGTTTAAAAAAAAAATGTGCGACGTGTTGTCTTATGTGAACAGTCGGAGCTGCTGAGCAGGTCTGTCGCACTGTCTATGCTATTGGATAGAGAGCAATCACCGCAGCTGTTCATCCCATGTTAGTGGGCAAATGGACATTGTCAAATCAAACCCCAATTTTAATTTATCTGTGTGGTGCATGGATGTTTCAAACTCTGTTTTAGACTGACTTTATGTCCCAAATTGTCATATTTACACTTAGTTGATAATTTTGACACTAGTTTCTGACTCATCGATGCCACATAGGTCGTTTTCAAAGGGAATAGTTGATTTTTAAAGGCAGTCGCTCTACAAGTTAGATGGGGAGCGGCGGTGAACAGCAATCTTCAAGTCTTTCCACCGATCTTCAATGTGATTCAAGTCTAGGTTTTCGCTGGGCCACTCAAGGACTCTCACTTTCTTGTTCTGAAGCCATTCCAGGGTTCCTTTGGCTGTATGCTTGGGGTCATTTTTCGGTTGGAACGTAAATCTTCACCCCAGTCTAAGGTCATTTTCACCCTGAAGCAGGTTCTCATCATGAATTTGCCTGTATTTGCCTCCATTCATTGTTCCCTCTTATCCTTACCAGTCTTCCAGGCCCTGCCACTGAAAAACATCCCCATAGCATGATGCTGCCACCACCATGCTTCACGGTAAGGATGGTGTTGGACGGGTGATGAGCTGTGCCTGGTTTTCTTCAAACATAGCGCTTTGCATTCAGGCCAAATAGTTCCATTTTTCTCATCAGACCACATCATCTTTTGCCTTATCTGTCTTTCACATGCCTTTTTGCAAACTCCAAGCGTGCTGGCTTCTGTCTGCCCATTCTCCCAAAAAAACCCAGATTGGTGAAATGCTGTACATACTGTTGTCCTTCTGGCAGGTTCTCCCATCTCAGCCAAGGAACTCTGTAGTTCTGTCAGAGTGGTCATTGGGTTCTTGGTCATCCCCCCCTGACCAAGGTCCTTCTTGCATGGTTGCTCAGTTTGGTTGGACCGCCAGCTCTAGGCGGATTCTGGGTAGTTCCATATTTTTTCCATTTCACAATGATGGAGACCACTGTGCTCTTTTGAAACTTTGAACACTCTAGAAATTGTTTTATACCCTTCCCCAGATGTCTCATCACAATTCTATCTCGGAGAGCTACGGACAGTTCCTTGGACTTCATGGTATAGTTTCTGCTCTGAAATGCACAGTTAACTGTGGGGCCATATATAGACTGGTGTTTCTTTCTAAATCATGTCCAAACAATTTAATTTGTCACAGGTGGGCTCCAAGTTGTTGTGACATCTCAAATGTGATCAAAAGAAAATTGGATGCACCTGAGCTCAATTTGGAATGTCATAGCAAAGGGGTGTGAATACTTATGTAAATGAGATTTCTGTATTTTATCTTCAGTAAATGTGCAAACATTTCTAAACATGTTTTCACATTGTCATTATGGGGTATTGTGTGTTTCATTATTATTTTGAAACCAGTTAAACATACACATACGAACAACAACTTAGACGCACACAAAATACTACATCTCATCTGCCCACATGCTCACACCCCCATCCCTAGTACCTGCATTGTTTTCCGTTATGTTAATGACTGATTTCTATGTTTTTAGTATACATTTTCTCAAGATGAGTGATGAAGAGAATCGTCCAGCCCATTGGGTATCTCACTATTTTCTGAAGGCACTGTATATGACTGTTTGCTCCTCAGAACACCATGCTGCGTCACGCGGAGAACTGTAACGGAGAGAACACCGGCGACGAGAACGGAACCCCGCCCAAGAAAGGCCGCCGCGGCAGGAAAAGGAAGATGCGCTCCAGACGGGATGACGATGACGACGACACCGGTACGACCAAGTCACATTTCACTTTCTTGTTCTTATACAATGCAATAATAATATTGTGTACTGTGTATCTTAAGGGTACAGCGCTAAAATCAGGACTTTCTTCTTCTTCTCTTCCACAGAGCCTGAGCTGGATGACATTGAGGAGGAGGAGGAGGAGGAGGATGAGGAGGAGCTGCTAGCTGAGATTGAGGTGGAGCAGGCACCACCTGTTGACCCTGTCCCTGCCCCTGTGGGCCCGCCAGCCAAGAGGAAACGTGGAAGACCTCCCAAGCCCAAACCTGCCCCAAGTGAGTCACACTCACTGGTACCCTGTTGGAATACTTAAAAAATACCACCCTCCCTACTTAATTTCTTGAAGGAATCACTTTTCATGCAGACATGCAATAGAGTGAATACTTTGGCATACAGTGGGGGGGGAAAAGTATTTAGTCAGCCACCAATTGTGCAAGTTCTCCCACTCCCTGTAATTTTCATCATAGGTACACGTCAACTATGACAGACAAATTGAGAAAAAATATTCCAGAAAATCACATTGTAGGATTTAAATGAATTTATTTGCAGATTATGGTGGAAAATAAGTATTTGGTCACCTACAAACAAGCAAGATTTCTGGCTCTCACAGACCTGTAACAACTTCTTTAAGAGGCTCCTCTGTCCTCCACTCCTTACCTGTATTAATGGCACCTGTTTGAACTTGTTATCAGTATAAAAGACACCTGTCCACAACCTCAAACAGTCACACTCCAAACTCCACTATGGCCAAGACCAAAGAGCTGTCAAAGGACACCAGAAACAAAATTGTAGATCTGCACCAGGCTGGGAAGACTGAATCTGCAATAGGTAAGCAGCTTGGTTTGAAAAAATCAATTGTGGGAGCAATTATTAGGAAATGGAAGACATACAAGACCACTGATAATCTCCCTCGATCTGGGGCTCCACGCAAGATCTCACCCCGTGGGGTCAAAATGATCACAAGTACGGTGAGCAAAAATCCCAGAACCACACGGGGGGACCTAGTGAATGACCTGCAGAGAGCTGGGACCAAAGTAACAAAGCCTACCATCAGTAACACACTACGCCGCCAGGGATTCAAATCCTGCAGTGCCAGACGTGTCCCCCTGCTTAAGCCAGTACATGTCCAGGCCCGTCTGAAGTTTGCTAGAGTGCATTTGGATGATCCAGAAGAGGATTGGGAGAATGTCAGATGAAACCAAAATAGAACTTTTTGGTAAAAACTCACCTCGTCGTGTTTGGAGGACAAAGAATGCTGAGTTGCATCCAAAGAACACCATACCTACTGTGAAGCATGGGGGTGGAAACATCATGCTTTGTGGACTGTTTTTCTGCAAAGGGACCAGGACGACTGATCCGTGTAAAGGAAAGAATGAATGGAGCCATGTATCGTGAGATTTTGAGTGAAAACCTCCTTCCATCAGCAAAGGCATTGAAGATGAAACGTGGCTGGGTCTTTCAGCATGACAATGATCCCAAACACACCGCCCGGGGCAACGAAGGAGTGGCTTCGTAAGAAGCATTTCAAGGTCCTGGAGTGGCCTAGCCAGTCTCCAGATCTCAACCCCATAGAAAATCTTTGGAGGGAGTTGAAAGTCTGTGTTGCCCAGCGACAGCCCCAAAACATCACTGCTCTAGAGGAGATCTGCATGGAGGAATGGGCCAAAATACCAACAACAGTGTGTGAAAACCTTGTGAAGACTTACAGAAAACGTTTGACCTGTGTCATTGCCAACAAAGGGTATATAACAAAGTATTGAGAAACTTTTGTTATTGACCAAATACTTATTTTCCACCATAATTTGCAAATAAATTCATTAAAAATCCTACAATGTGATTTTCTGGATTTTCTTTTCTCATTTTGTCTGTCATAGTTGACGTGTACCTATGATAAAAATTACAGGCCTCTCTCATCTTTTTAAGTGGGAGAACTTGCACAATTGGTAGCTGACTAAATACCTTTTTTCCCCGCTGTATTTAATCAGGTACAGATCACTGATCAGTATCCCAAAGGACTCAAAAGTCCCAAAACAGCTGAACAGATGTGTTTTCTTCTTCCCTCAGCGGCGGCAATCATCCGTGTGGAGGATGAGACCACAGGCGAGGTGGATGACATCATTGTGAAGAAAGAGATGAAAGCTGAGCAGGCGAGCCAGGAGGAAGAAGCTGTCGTGGATGAGGAGCCGGCAGTAGAGGTGGAGCATGCTGAAGGAGAGCCTTCCAATCAGGTAGAAGAGTCATTCCAGGGGGAGGAGGTGGTGCAGGAAGTGGCACTGTCGGTCACAGAGGCTCCGCCCAACGGTGACCTCACTCCTGAGATGATTCTCAGCATGATGGACCGGTGATGAAGACGGAGCCTCTGTCTGCATCCAGCAATACAAATTGTCCCGTTTGTACACTCACATGTACCCACTCTCAAACACAACACACGTACCTTCCCTCGCATACACCATACACGTATACCACACATATACACCCTAGTTACGTAACCTTAGATCTTTCTCTCTCTGATGTTGATGATAATGCCTGGGACATGTCTAAAGATACCTTTAGCCCATTCTATTTTTTTAAGAGCTTATTTTCCTCTCTCTTGTGATCTCTATCTACATCCCACTGCGAAACACCTTACACCCTCATGTTGAATTATGTGTGTATACAAAATCTAGATAACATTATGCAGACTGTTGTCACTGGAAAAGATGTAAGGAGAGGGGGTGTGGTTTAGATCATGATAATGTATTATGTCATAAATCATGTGCTCATTCTGCTGTCAATTATGTTCTATAGGCCCTCAGAGAATGCTTTCTCTGTAGCATATTTTGGCCCACATTTGATCTCATGTTGGCCCTCTCCTCGTGCTCTGTTGTCTGTCTAAAAACAATGATGTGCTTTCACCCTGTTAGGGGATCAAAGTTTAGGGATGACCTGAAATATTCTGCTTTTACAAAATGTTATGCTGTTTTCAAATGAAACACAATACCTTGCTCATGTTAAAGCTTTTAGAATTGATTTGTTTTTTGGTTTGATGCTTTTTTCTTTTGTACCATGGAAATGAAATGCTAGGGGGCTTGAATGGCAATTATATGATTGGAGGGGTGAGAGAATGTTTGACTGTACAGCCAATTAAAAATTAAAAGATCAACCTACTGGGGTGTCATGAGTCAAATTGCTTCAGTTTCAGCCTTGATTAGGCTTATTTAGCATGGCATGTAGTACTGATATATATAGACACTTTAGGATGTTTCATCATGTTTAGACTAGAGTATTATCTGCTACATTCTTCTGACACCTGAAAGGCTTATGCCCACAAGTCTCTTTTTAGAAACCTGTTCAGAGTAGTAGAGGAACTAGACTATAATGGTTGTTCCTTGAAGTTTCCTCTGATATTGAGTGCTTCATTAAAACACAATTTTAGTCCCCTCCCTGGTTTTCCCTTGCTTGATATTGTAATCACTTCATGGAGAGACACACACCAGAAACCAATTGCCTAGATCACCAGTCATCCCCTGCATTTTCTAACCCATCCATGTAAAATCAATTATTTATTTGTAATTTTAGCACATTTTGTTCCCTTCCTGCATTTTGGTCAGTTCCATGATGAACCTTAATTTATATTATAAATGAATATATACTAGACTGCATTGTGCACCTGCACTGCTCTCCCTCTAACACAAGCTCTATATTCTCCATTCTCTCTGTCTTTCTCACGCTCGCTTTCTCTTAGAGGGAGGGGGGGAGGAGAAAGGCGAGGCCCCTTGTTGTCAGATCTGTCAGTCTAGCCAGCTTGGCCCCTCCTACCTTGTTGGAGGCAGTGGATACTGCTGCTGGTGCTCTTAGCAACGGTGCCTCAGCAACAGAGCCACGGCAACGGAGCACCACGGCAACAGAGTGCCGTGTCTCCCCTTATGGAGCTTCCATTGGGCGGGCCGGCGCTGAGGCACTACACCCGCAGCAGACCTAGACCACACCGACAAAACCAACACCTCCGCCCCAGCAGACCACAGGTACAGAGAGATGGAGAAAAAGGGGTGCTGTGTAGAGGCATAATGGAAAGGAGGGGGAGATAGGGTACAGTGGGGAGAGGCAGGGGGAATGGAAGGAGGGAAGATGCCTGGTGCCTGTTTGATTCAAGGTACTTGGATAGCAACAGCAACCAGCTGCTTGCGTATTCAAAACCAATAGTGTGTTTGGGGGGATTGCATTTGTGTATAGGATTGTGACTGTATGTGGCTAATTTCTAGGGCTATATAATGCTTCCTCTGAAAGCTGGCGGGCTTTTTCTTGGTAGGTGTGTGTGAATTTTCTCTACCTTAGCCATCATCACCTTATCTATTGTATGCCTCCTGCCATTGGCGCTGTATCAGTCACGATCAGAGTTAACACGTGATGCTGGTTTTATTGGATGAACTAAACCAAACCTAATCAATCACATGGGCAGCCTTAGTGCCACAGGACATGACATCATAAGGTCTTACTTGTTTTCTGAGTCAGTCATTGGTAATTGTACATACCAATGGTAGTGTGATAATGTAGATCTAGGGGATACATGTCTGAGGTGTTGTTGATGTGTCTGTGTATATTCTGTGTGTCAGGGAAGTCTGAGCCCATGAAGTAACAATGTTATGTAATAATTACTATGTGCTATATGAAAGAAACTGCTCTCAGTAACCTCCTGATATCCAACATAGCACTCTTTCCACCAATTGGAAACTCTTTCGCTTTCTATTTCTCTGGTAGTCTAACTGCACTCACACACATACACCTAATAATCACAGATACCGTAACACTTATCATCTCTTTCTCTGTGCGTGTGTGCATGGGTTTGACACAGGAATCGGTGGTTGACAATGAAAATGAAGTCCCTGATCACATGGGGCGAGTTGATGAGGGAGTTGAGGAGTTCTTTACTAAGCGAGTCCTTCCTGTCGACGCTCTGTGAGTATCTGACCAAACTCATCCTAGACAATCTCACTCTTCACTATCTCATCCCCAACACATCTTAACCAGCTCACAGTAAACCTCTTTAAATTTGAGTCATTTATGAGATGCTCATATTCATAAAAACCTACAATAAGTACATTCAATAAATATAATACGCAACATTTTCCTGACTACGTTACCTGCGTGCAGGCCCTAGCTTGTCCAGGTCAGGCCACATGGCCAGGAAAGACTCAGGGCCCTATGATTGACAAACACACACATGCTGGTCCTGTGCTACTCTGACTCTTCCTCCAGGAAAACACAGAATGAGGCTGAGGAACCTCCCATTACTGAACAGGAAGTGGAAGTAGCACCTGCTAGCGCCGCCCCTTGCCCCGCCCCTTCCAGGACCCTAAGGAGGAAGCTGGGCGAGTTCTTCACCCTTAAAAAGCGGAGAGCTGTGAAGTCAGAGGGAAGCCAAGAGGGGAAGGCCAAGAAGACCTCCATCGCTGACCTGATCCGGCCTCTCAGGGAGGCCGCCAGAGCTGAAAAAGATAAAGTGAAGGAGAATGAAAAAGAGAAGGAGAAAGAGAGTGTGGATGACAGCGTTGTGACAGGAGATTCAGTGGAAGCAGAAACCCCTCCTTCTGATGGTCCCACTCCACTGAGGGCTGAGGCTCCACCCCGTCGTGCGCTAAGAGAGGGGAAGTCACAGTCTCTCATTCTGCTCTCTGGATCCGCAACCCACACTGGGAACACCAAGAACACTGCACAAGGGAAGGTAGGTATTCTAATGTATTCAAAACTGACCCTTGAAAAAATGTGATGAGTTAAAGCAATTTGGTAAAAAATTCTACATAGCCTATGAGAGGATCGCTCTTATTTTTTTGTTTTATTTTGATTATTCTTTAGTTCGGATTGGTTCTTATCGGCACTGACTGCTTCTCCTTGGTCCTGGTTGGTTTCAGAAACACTCATCTGACGGCCATCATGGCTTTGAGCAGCGCCTCCAACTCGTGCTACAACGTATTGGTGTGTCCAAAGCTCAGCCAGGAGAAACACAGGTGTGTATGTGCATTTATCTGAGTGTGTATGTACGAGTCTATATGTATGTGGTTGTGTGTCTATAAGGAAAACATAAACATTTCTTATTCCATTCTACAGAGTCAGGAGGGAGAGATGAAAAAAGCTGAATCAGAGGGTAAGTCCCTTTACTCATATAACACTTGCTACAGTATATGTGCGAGTCTGTGTGTGGTGTTGGATGTGTGTGTTCGTTCATTTTCTGTCTTGGTTTCAGGTACTATCATCGATAATAAACCTGAGCCCCCACCCACATTTATGAAGCCCCGGACCATGTCCACCTCATCAGGTAACACACACACACACACAAACACACACAGACAAACACACACACACTATTGCATACCATTTTGTGTATCTTATACTCATCTTCTTTGTCTTTAGATACGAGACGTCCGGTCCGACAGAGTGTGTCCGCACATGAGTCAGCTGGGAAACCTGCTCTGCCTCCTAAGCCAATAATTAAGCGAGGCCCAACCCCACCTCCCACTATCTCCGGTCATCTCACCCCTGAGAATGACCTAGCCCAAATACAGGAAGGAGAAGCATGTTCCCCCACAGACCCCACCCCTAGTATCACTGATACCCCTACCAGTTCTAAACCTATCCCCACTGAAGCCACTATTCCCATCACTGTCCCAGATCCCACTAACTCTTCTATTATCACTGACACCATCATTCCCTCCCCTGTCCCAGATCCCACTAACTCTTCTATTATCACTGACACCATCATTCCCTCCCCTGTCCCAGATCCCACTAACTATTCTATTCCCACTGACACCATCATTCCCTCCCCTGTCCCAGATCCCACTAACTCTTCTATTCCCACTGACACCATCATTCCCTCCCCTGTGCCAGATCCCACTAACTCTTCTGTTCCTACTGACACCATCATCCCCTCCACCTCCCCTGTCCCTGAACCCACTAACTCTTCCATCCCAGTTTCTATTACCGCTACTTCCTCTAATACAACCCCCAATGACATTATCACCTCTACGACGTCTGCACCTACCCCTATCAATACTACAGCCCCCACCCCCAACACCACCACCTTTATCCCCAGTACTAACCCTACCACAACCACTACCTCCATCACAACTACATCGGCCCCTATGAATATTACAACTTCCAGACCCCCTTCTGACATTAACACTGTTTTTATCCCCACTATTAACCCCACCCCAACTTCCCCTACCTCCACTGACTCCACCACCCCAACCACCTCTACGTCTGCCATCCCTAATCTAGCCACCATCACCATTACAAGCATTACTGCCCCAACACCTGTTAACACTAATACTGATACCCCTACATTAACAACCCCCACCACTAATGCTTCTACCCCTACCCTTACTGATACTGCTGCCTCAACTTCTACTGACTCGACAACTCCAACACTAAATACTTCTAACTCCATAATTGCTTCTGCTGCCAACAACACTTATACTCCCACCTCCACTAACTCTCTGTGTCCCACCCCAACTACCCTCACTACTAACTCAGTTACCCCACCTCTATCATCTGCTACTACTATAACAACCTCTACCCTTAATTCTATGAATGGTGCTTCCACCCCTACCCATATCCCCATAAACTCTACTGACTCCAACGCTACCCAAACCGCAACTAACAATACCAGCGCAACTAACTCTGTCAACTTCACTTCTACCTCAAGCCCCACTAACTCTACTAGTCCTATCCCTACTTGCTCTACCAGCTCAACTTCCACTAACTGTGCTACTCACACTGCTACTATCCCTACCAGTCCGATCCCCATTCTCTCTACTACTCACTCCCCCACTGCCACTTCTATCCCCACTGCCACTCACTCAACTAAATCCACCAATATTTCCTCCCCCACATTCTCTTCTACTCACACCTCTACTAACACTACTAGTCCCATCCCAACTAATTCTACTAGCCTGGCCACTACCCCCACCCCCATTAACTCTATCCCCGTCACCACTATCTCTACAAGCCCTTCTAATATCACCACTGCCACTAACTCTTCTGTCCCCATCAGTACCCTCAACCCCACTACCTCTACTACCAGCACCCCCACTAACTCTTATGTCCCCATCAGTACCCTCAACCCCACTAACTCTACTACCAGCACCTCCACTAACTCTTATGTCCCCATCAGTACCCTCAACCCCACTAACTCTACTACCAGCACCCCCACTAACTCTTCAAATCCCACCAACACCAATAAACCTACTAACTCTACTACACACACCACTATCCCAATCCCCACTAATTCTGCTACTCATTGTCCCACTAACTATTTTACTCATAGCCCCACTAACTCTTCCAGTCCAACCCCCACTAACTCTACTAGCCCCACACCAACTAATACTATTCAACCATCACCTGAGGAGAGAATTAGCTCTAATCCTGCAATGGGACTGCTGTCCATGACTAAGGGTACAAGTAAGTGTGTGTGTTCAATAATAATAATAATAATAATATTGCTTGAAATGTGGAAGTAACCTGTTGAAAATAACATATTTTTCCCCTCCCTTTCCTCTCCTACAGACGACCTGAATGCTGAGAGGGTAGAGTGGAACAAGGAGAAAGAGAAGGAGCCAAGTAGCAAGGAAGAAGATGGCAGGAGGGCCACAGAGAAAGAAAAAGAACAGAAATCATTGGCGCACTACATAGGAGAAACCATAAAAGAGGAGAGGGAAGAGGGTCTGCAGAAGGTGGATGAGATCATGAGGCAGGGAGTAGAAGGGACCAAATCAAATGAGGGAAGAGAGCTGTGTAAAAAGGATGGGGATAAAAAGAGGGAAGGAGGGACCAATGTGTCAGATGAAAAAGAGTTCAAAACTAAGGAGGCGGTAGAGAGCAAGACAAACAAGGGACCAACTACTGTGATAGAGGCAGGGGAGACCACAGTAAAAGAAACGGGGGGAGAGTCCATGGGACTGAGTACAGGGACCACATCACAGCAGCAAACCGCAGAGGGTGGAACATCGGACCAAAGAACTGAGACCCCCTCTGTGTGACACAAATGGACTGACCCAGCACAGTGTCCTTTTTTTCGACCATGTTTACATTTGCATTGCATGTATTGTATAATTATGTAATACAACAACTGTGGTGAAATATGTTTACAATAGATGGATATGAGACGTATACTTACTTATGATTATTAAAAGGAATATTCAATATGTCATGATGTCTTTATCATGCTTCAGTCCATCTGTTAGTTCCTGGCTCCCAATCTCTTTGGAATGTCTATAACTAAGCCTAAACCAGAAATGTATGACAAAAGGTGGTGGAAGGAGAGAAGGTCTGAGATAGAAGAGTTTCTTCATAGTAGTACCAGAGTGAATCCTTGCCCTATTCCCATATGACCTTGACGACGCACCTTGAGGGCCAGAAATTATTGGATTGATGAAGGCAATATGTGGTAGAAGAACCATATCTGGCCATCACTTGTCTCCAAGGACAAATTGTCCAGGGCAGAGGGAGGGGAGCAATTACACTAGGGGATGTTGCTCCCAATACTCCTATAGGCATAATTCCCTCATCTCCTTTCCTTATTTGTTAAGGGTAGATGAAGGGACTGGACAGGTGTTCTCATTTACATTACATTTACATTTACGTCCACAAGTGCTTTAATACAGACACTTTAGATAAGGGGTGGACAAGGAAAGGAATATAACGTGTGTGACGGGACGGGACTTGGGTATCGAAGTGGCGTGAACAGTGTTTCCCATGATAGGGGACTGCAGTGGGAACCGATTGCTGTGGAAATGTTCATCAACGGAACGTAAATAAAGTAACATCACTCAGTGGAACCGCTACATTCAACCAGGCTCAAAAGTGGTTGTTGTTTACTATCAGGTGAGTTGCAATATCTAATTGCCTCTGTAACTAAATGTAATAGTGTAAATCTGAGCGACATGACGACCTAGGGCAGTGGTTCCCAACCAGGGGGGGTACTTGGCCTATCCACAGGGGGTACTTGAGAAGACTCATGAGACCATAGGCCTACTGGTCAAATGCACATAAGGGGGTACTTCAGGGGTACTCCGGGCAAAGCAAAATTTAGTTGGTGGTACAGTAACGGGAAAAGGTTATGAACCACTGACCTAGGGGATCTACAGTAGCTAGCTAAGGTTAGGTGTAGGCAGCTAAATTTGCACGAGTAGGAGGAAGACCTCGCCGTACAGTTCACACGAGTAGGAGGAATACTTTGCCGTACAGTTCACAACAAAGCTAGCTAGCTAAGTAACGTTATAGCTAATATTGATGTTTTCTCGATCTGATCTATTCTATGAGCTAGGCCTAGTTGTAATTTGTCTTAGTTTAGTTTGTAAACTAGTTATGTGTGGAAAAGTTAGTACCATGAGAGCCTTTTTTCACTGCAATGTTTAGCTAGCTAATAAATCCACAATTGTGTATGGATATTATAGTCACCACACCAGTTAATGTAATAACAGATAACTAGTAACTAGCTAGTATACTGAAAATAGTATAATATAAGGGACTAGTGCCATCAACTCTCAACTGTCACATTATTCTGTACATGCCTGTCTCCAGTGTTTTAGGGTGTGTGGCCATGCCTCGGTCTAGGAGGACTAAGTTGGAGCCCTGGATAGAGCAGATCATCCTGAGTTACGGCACAGAGCCAAAGGAGGAGAAGAAGAACACTCTGATGAAAGCGCATGTTGTGGGGGTAATGAGGCATCTATTACATACACTTCATGCTAGGCCTGTGTTCCAAGTTTAGAAGCTATCTGACTGTACAGTGGTGTGTGTGTGTGTGTGTGTGTGTGTGTGTGTGTGTGTGTGTGTGTGTGTGTGTGTGTGTGTGTGTGTGTGTGTGTGTGTGTGTGTGTGTGTGTGTGTGTGTGTGTGTGTGCGCACACAAGAGAGAGTTTATTTTGCTCACACCTTTCTGTCTCTCTCTATAGGTCGGGCGGATGTCAGAGTCCCAGGCCCGGCAGACTGAGGGTTTGACAACGTTACTGTACCTCTCTGATGGAGTGGTGCACATCCCCGCCATACTGACCCAGGACGCCTGGGAGACTCTTCAGGAGTGAGTAAACATTTAGGACAAGCCAAGAGGCCTATGAGATCATATTAAATGACATGTATATCTAAAACCCATCTATAAACCATATATTGTTAAGCCCAGTACAAATCTAACAGCCAACAAAGGAGAAACAAGACGAGACAAAACCTATTAAGAAAATGAAGCCATACAGTAAATGGTGATGCATTTCAATCTATCTGTATCCTCTGGCAGGCAGGAGGACCGTGAGTGCTTCTCCAGTCTCATCAATTGCTCAATGTGTGTGTATTCATACACCCTACAGTTCAACATGGCCCCTGAACAGGTGTGTGTGAATGATCCTATGATACTGGTACTAGTAGTCCTTTGGTCTTGGAGAGACAGCTCCTGTTCTTTATTCTTTACCATTCATATTTTACTATAAATGTGTCCTCATCTCCTCAGACAAAGAGCCAGTTTTACTTATCGGTTGGTGAGCTGACCACCACATCAGCTGGGGCTGCTAAAGACAACACCCCTTGCTGGTGAGAGACGCACCTCCTGGCCTCTAGATCCAGACACCAACACATACACACCACAGGAGGTTGGTTGCACCTTAATTGGGGAGAACAGGCTCGTTCTAATGACTGGAGCAGATTGAGTGAAATGGGAACTAATACATCAAACACATGGTTTCCAGGTGTTTGATCCATTCCATTTGCTCCGTTCCGGCCATTATTATGAGCCGTTCTCCCCTCAGCAGCCTCCTGTGATACACACATTAAATCTAGTGACTCTCCAACTGGCTTTTGTTTCAGCACATCGCTCAACTCAGTCAGACAACAGATCTGTACAACATGGAGGTGAGCATGGGGTGTGTGTAAGTGTCTGTGTTTGCAAAAAAATTTTTGTGCATATAATGCATGCGTACATTACTTTATAAATTGTAGTTGTTGATCATGTGTTTTCTTTTATCCCCAGATCCCTGCTTGCACAGGATTCTGTCCATACTCAGAACACCCAGTCTGGTACAGCACTCTTTACACTCTGCACACCATTGCTGATTTGTATCCTTATTGTTTGCCACACCTGTGTATATGACTGTGTTTCCTGTCTCCTAGAGTTCAGTCTGTCAGAGCTGCTGGGGGAGTGGCAGCATGACTGGCGCCAGTCTCTGTTGGAGGATGTGATGGAACTCCTGAGGACGCCCACAAATCCCCCCTCCCCACAGCCCTCCACCTCCAATGCCCTCACACACACTGGCACCAGATGGGCTATTGAAAGGGTCAGATATAAGGTGTGTGTGTGTGTGTGACCAACCTATTACATGTAAGAAAACAGTAGGAAATCTGCAACTTTACAAGAAGGTTGTTGTTTTTTCCTAGAGGGAGGATACTTTCAATGTCCCTGTGTCTCACCTACACATCCCAGACAATCTGAGTCAGAAACTACACACACCCTCAGGTAACACTTGAGGGTGTCTCACCCTCTCTCTCACACCTGAAAATCACCTACACCTGTTCTGTCTTTCTGAGCTGACCGTTGTGTTTTATTTAGAAGACAACAGTGAAACACAGAGTGGACTGGTCCCTCCATCTGAAGACAGACCGACAGACCCACCAGAGACAGATCAACCAATTGTTGCTGCTGACAGCAGTCAGACCGACAGGCCAGTACCTCTGGAGAGAAGACATCCTGCCCATGAGCCCACACATTCTCGTGTGTTATGTTTGTTAACTGGTCCATGCTGTAAATTAAGTATTTGCTATCAGTTACTGCTACCTGAAGTATGCTGCTAGCATAATAGAGCCCAAGTGTGACAGTGTGTGTACAAATATCTATATTTTTCTCTCCCTCTCTCTAGAGGAGAGTATGGATGGAGAGGTGGTGTCAGGGGTGACTGGAGGAGCAGTGGCGAGCCCATGGGACATGTTTGCTCCAGCAGCTGAGCTGCTCAGGACCTCCTCTGCATCTGACGGTGTGCTCCTTTCATTTTAACTTTTTCAATCTATCAACCTCTACGCACACACCACACCATGCACATTTGTCTTTGCGCCGTAGTACAGATATTCTGACTTCTGTCTCTCATTGGTTCCTTGACAGAATCCATCACCTCGGAGCCCCTCCCACTCCAGAAGAGCCAGTCTCTGCTCGACCCCACTCCACAACCAGTCACCCCTGCACCGTTTCCCCTGGCAACCAGCACCCAGGTGCCATCCTTGACCCCTGGGGCCACCCAAAGGTCAGGCGAACGCTCCCTTCCTCCTTATCAAAAACCAGGCCCCTCCCACAGCCTGCTCCCCTCCAGTGGCTCCTCCTCCACTGTGAGTCTATCTACAAAGCACCAACACTCTGGCATGAAACTCCACCACAGTGGCTCAACCACAACACATCAACTTCCAATCATGGAGCAGCAGGATCAGGTGGAGGAAGAGGAGGCTGTTGTGAAGAGTTGTAGGAAGGCTAAAAGGAAGAGTTCTGTGCGGACCCCCCAGGATAATGATATCACCTGGGAGGAAGAAGATATGCAGAAGAACCGCAGCCCGCCCTCCTGGATGTTTGAAACTCAGGAGATTCCCAGGATTGGGGAGGGAAGCAGCTGCAAACAGAAGGCAGTTGCTGCAATAGCCCCCCAGAGGCCCTCCAATGTAAGGGCGACCAATTTTCAACCAAGAAATAGGATATATATTGACCATTTAGTGGAATTTGGAACCTGTCCATTTTGTTAGACTGGTGTGAAGTAAATTATCTGTCTTGCTCTTTCAGGTTCACAGTGATGGCACTTCGTTCTCATATTCTTATCAGCTGTGTGGCCGCATTTCGAAGGATCTAAGCTATTTAAAGTGAGTAAGCCGTGTGTGTGTGTGTGTGCGTATGTACAGTGGGGAAAAAAAGTATTTAGTCAGCCCCCAATTGTGCAAGTTCTCCCACTTAAAAAGATGAGAGAGGCCTGTAATTTTGATCATAGGTACACGTCAACTATGACAGACAAAATGAGAAAAAAAAATCCAGAAAATCACATTGTAGGATTTTTTATGAATTTATTTGCAAATTATGGTGGAAAATAAGTATTTGGTCAATAACAAAAGTTTCTCAATACTTTGTTATATACCCTTAGTTGGCAATGACACAGGTCAAACGTTTTCTGTAAGTCTTCACAAGGTTTTCACACACTGTTGCTGGTATTTTGGCCCATTCCTCCATGCAGATCTCCTCTAGAGCAGTGATGTTTTGGGGCTGTCGCTGGGCAACACGGACTTTCAACAACCAAAGATTTTCTATGGGGTTGAGATCTGGAGACTGGCTAGGCCACTCCAGGACCTTGAAATGCTTCTTACGAAGCCACTCCTTCGTTGCCTGGGCGGTGTGTTTGGGATCATTGTCATGCAGAAAGACCCAGCCACGTTTGATCTTCAATGCCCTTGCTGATGGAAGGAGGTTTTCACTCAAAATCTCACGATACATGGCCCCATTCATTCTTTCCTTTACACGGATCAGTCGTCCTGGTCCCTTTGCAGAAAAACTGCCCCAAAGCATGATGTTTCCACCCCCATGCTTCACAGTAGGTATGGTGTTCTTTGGATGCAACTCAGCATTCTTTGTCCTCCAAACACGACGAGTTGAGTTTTTACCAAAAAGTTCTATTTTGGTTTCATCTGACCATATGACATTCTCCCAATCCTCTTCTGGATCATCCAAATGCACTCTAGCAAACTTCAGACGGGCCTGGACATGTACTGTCTTAAGCAGGGGGACACGTCTGGCACTGCAGGATTTGAGTAGTGTGTTACTGATGGTAGGCTTTGTTACTTTGGTCCCAGCTCTCTGCAGGTCATTCACTAGTTCCCCCCGTGTGGTTCTGGGATTTTTGCTCACCGTTCTTGTGATCATTTTGACCCCACGGGGTGAGATCTTGCGTGGAGCCCCAGATCGAGGGAGATTATCAGTGGTCTTCCATTTCCTAATAATTGCTCCCACAGTTGATTTCTTCAAACCAAGCTGCTTACCTATTGCAGATTCAGTCTTCCCAGCCTGGTGCATGTCTACAATTTTGTTTCTGGTGTCCTTTGACAGCTCTTTGGTCTTGGCCATAGTGGAGTTTGGAGTGTGACTGTTTGAGGTTGTGGACAGGTGTCTTTTATACTGATAACAAGTTCAAACAGGTGCCATTAATACAGGTAACGAGTGGAGGACAGAGGAGCCTCTTAAAGAAGAAGTTACAGGTCTGTGAGAGCCAGAGATCTTGCTTGTTTGTAGGTGACCAAATACTTATTTTCCACCATAATTTGCAAATAAATTCATAAAAAATCCTACAATGTGATTTTTGTACAATGCTTAACTGTGTGTGTGTATCCTGCAGGATTCCTGATGGCATGTTGCACTGGGCTGTACGGTACCTGGTCCCTTCCATGCAGACGGATGTTGTCAAGGATACACAGCTGCGACCCCAGGCTCACCCCAGCTGACAACCTGAGGTCATCGTCCCCATCTTCCCATTGTGTTGAATTCATAGTGTACAGAGTGTACGTTGTTTTTTAATGAATCTCTATTGTTATGTTTATATAACATTCTGAATATTGATAAATAAATATCAATTAGTAATTGAATTGTGTCAACTACTGAGAAGCAGGCAAATGTGAACTTATCAACTTTTCATTTGTCAACAACAAGATCATTTTATTCTGTCAGTTACTCACAGATGTTCTTTCCTTAATTTGACTTTTGAATAACACACATGCACTTATTTCCTTATGCAAACATTCACTGGCTGCTATAATAAAATACAAATCATATCAGATGTCCTCTAGAATAATGTTTACTAAATATAAGCACAACAAAAATAGTCACAGGTACATAATGCTTGTACATTGTGCTTTAAACAATTAATGATATTTACTCAATGGAAGCCAGTGTCATGTGCTGGTGGTGTGGGGGCTTGCCCTGGGGAAACCTGAAGAGGCAAAGGCATAGAGGAAAGGGTTGAGGCAGCTGTTGATGATGGTGAAACTCATGAGGACATTCCAAGCTGAGTCACACACAAACTCCACATCCTCGTTCTTCACGGCCAAGTTCACCAGGGCCAGCAGGTTGAACAGGTGCAGCGGAGTCCAGAAGCAGAAGAAGGACACCACTATGCTGGTGACCAGCTTGGTCAGCCTCCGCTGCCTGAACAGGGTCGCCTGGCTCACCCTCTTGTGGAGGTAGAAGTAGGACGTCACCAGGATGCAGCAGGGAGCTACAAACCCCAGCAGTGTTTGGACAAGTAGGATGGCCATTTCTTGTCCGGGGCTCTGGTAGTGCGTTCTGCAGGATTGGTGGCTTTCGTATGTCTTGACGTCACAGACAGAGAAGGTGGGAGAGGCAATTAACCCTGCCAGCCCCCACAGGGACAGGAGGAGTGCCTCTTCCCCCATACGCCCCAGCCGCGCCCAGCTGTGGGGGTACAGCACCTGGACGTAGCGCTGCACACTCAGCAGGGTGATGGTCAGCACACTACCGTTCAGGCTGCAATAGATCAGGAAGAAGAGCAGCTTGCAGGTGGCGGGTCCCAGATCCCAGGCCCTCAGTAGGTTATTGATAGCTAGAGGCAGGCACAGCAAGACCATCAGGTCACACAGTGCCAGGTTCAGCATCAGACGCATGTTGAAGTTCCCTACTCTCAAATTTACGTCCCACGACAATCAGAACCACCACATTTCCAGGGATTCCCACCATGCAACAGAAGCCCATGATCACGCTGGGCATCACGCGGGTCATGTGCCAGTAAGGAAAGGACTCTGGGTGCTGCATGGGGCCGAACTGTCCAGACTGTTAAAATCCACAGGGAATGCTGGTTAGAAACTCAACAGGGATGTCTCATTACCTCCGTCTGGCTGGGCTGACTGAGACACACTAAGCTCTGAGTCGTTCCCCAGGTTGTCTTAACTACTGGTGGTAGTGATGATATGCTGTGAACAAAGAGTACCTGTGTGTGACTCTGGGCGTGACTCTGGGCCGGGCCTGTTTTGAATATACAACCTGTGTACAGCTCTGTGTTATTTGCAGGTAACACTCTACCAACCCCTACCAACATGACACACTCTCTTGTATAGCCTCCTGACCCCTGAGAGTTACAGGAAAACCTCAACAGAGGTTAATGGAGGAAAGTGCTTTTATTGATGAACAATCATGACCTTATCCATGCAGGATTAGAGTTTTTACATTTAACAGAACCTTTGGGGTATGTTGCAATTGGAGAGTTTAACCACTTCAAAATTCAGTCTCTTAAGTAAGATTTTAATCTACAGGAGCTACTTTAGTATTTACTGGTTATTACACTCCAGCACGATAGGTGGCGGTAATGCCCCAATGGTCAAAGTATACCTACTGCATCAAACACGGAACAGGAAAAGGAGAACGAGAAGAAGAAGACGGTTTGCGCATGGTTACGTCCTTCCATTTTTCTTTGTTATTGTTCTGATATATGTTTTGCATTGCATTTCTACCTGAGGATTTTGGAGCTAGATTTTGTATAGTGGTATTGGAGCAATGTCGAGTGTGCCTGCTCCCAATCGCTCATCCGCCGGCTGGCCGCGCGGGGTCAGTCAGTTCGGCGGGAACAAATACATGAGCGCGCCTGCAAAGCCGCTCAGCCTGGAGAGAACAATCAATTTGTGAGTAACAGAATGAATAGGGGGGGGGGGGAGAGACTACGTGGTTTTGCAAAGACTACTAAAATACCCGTCTTTCATTCAATTGTATGGAAAAGTTCCTGCCCTGCAAGCTTCGCAGTAGCCAGAATCCGACTTTCATTACATTAGTCGGAACGCTGCAATGACACGATCAGGACAGCGCAGAGTAGGCGATAACTATGGCTCGGAAAATGTACCTCAATCCCATTATTCCAACTGACAAATCGAGAAGATTGAAATACTGCTAGTTTTTAATGACTACTAGTTTTTTCGTCAGCATGCTAGGCTAATGCTATAGTAGCCCGGTGGATAAATAAGATCGTTTACTCAGGCCGTTTACCATTGAAAATGGTTACGGTTCCTGTCTGTGTAAATGGGCGTTTCATCTCTCGCGTGAGCATACTTTCCCCGCGTGAACTCATGGTTCCTCCATAATATATATATTTTTACCTTTATGTAACTAGGCAAGTCAGTTAAGAACAAATTCTTATTTACAATAACGGCCAAACCCGGACGACGCTTGGCCAATTGTGCGCCGCCCTACGGGCCTCCCAATCACGGTCGGTTGTGATACAGCCTGGAATCAAACCAGGGGGTCTGTAGTGACGCCTCAAGCACTGAGATGCTGCGCCACTATATTTATAACTAACCATGATAGTTAATCTGTGTCGTTTACAGTGGGAGCTAATTAAGCATAGTGGGCAGAAAAAACAAGGAGGTGGGATTTTAGTTCTAGTTTTTAACAAATCAAAACGGAATTAAAAAGAAGAAAGCTGGACTCCAAAAAACAAGTTGACCTACAAAAACTTCCATTGACACTATTACATATGTAAATTATGTTAAGTAGCCTCATAATAAACCCATGCATTAATGTGAAAACAGATTTGTATTTATATAAATTAATCTATTGTGTTTGTAAAATGTGAAGGGAAAAAAAAGATTATTTTAAACAAAAAAAGCACAAGAATGAGCTAGAGAGATCTTTCTTCTTCTTTAGGATTTGGGTTGTCAGATCGCATCCAACTTTTAGGTGCATACCCCCGCCACCTACTGCACTGGTGTGAGACCATTCACGGCCTACCTACATTAAATTCTTAATACGGTAGTACAAAATTGGGGAAAAGGAAAATTGCCCCTCCAACTATTAGCCCTCTCAACAACAAAAACACCACCCCATTCCACTATTTAACCCTATCTAATCCTACTCCAGACCACCGGTCTGAGAGGACAGAACACTACCACTCAACACCCCCTAGTGAGATCCTATTGGCGCGTTGTAGCATGTATTTGCATATTTCCGTTAAGGAACGCCTACTCTGAAGTGTGCGTGTGCAATAACTCAATTCGCCCTTGCACTCCTAAACAATAGCATTTTTTGAAACTTTGGTAAAGGCTAAAGTCTACAAAACGCAGTCCACTCTGTTACAGATTATAGTTTTGGAAACAGAAAACTGTATGGTGATCAAATCTTTAATCGATGAGAAAATTAGCAGAATGTCTGCCAAAATCCATTTCGCTCCATCTTCTCCCACTGCCAGACACTGGGCTTCCTCTCATCACCATATTTGGTAGTGAGTGGAAACGCCAACTGGATGCTTCACATTTATACATCAGGTGAAATATCTGGCTCATTCTTCTGGCACATTCTTCTATCTTTGAGCTGGCTCTGGTCTACTTATTGTCTCCTCCCTTTTGCCCCACCCATCCCGCCCATAAAACATTTGCCAGTGAGATGTCTCACCCTGGGGCACCCTTGGGGCGGGGGCAATAAGTAGACCAGAGTGGCCCCGCCCAATCAGAAACAATTAGGGAGTGGGGTGTCTTGCTTTCTCTACTGTCTCTGCCTTAGCGTTGGGGTGAGTAGCTACCGGAAGTGTTGTCGAATCTAATGGGCTGCTATAGCATTAGCTAGCCTAGCATGCTAACAAAAAACAAGCAGTCATTAAAGACTAGCAGTATTTCAATCTTCTTGATTTGTCATTTGGGATGATGAGATCATTAGTAGTACATTGCCATCTCCCATCCCTGGATTGAGGTACGTTTTCCAAGCAATATCTCGAGCCAGCTCCGCGCTTTCCTGATCGCTGCATAGCCACGTTCCGACTAGAGAGAGAACGATGTCTATTCGGATTCTGGCTAGCTTTGCAGCTGGCTCTATGTCCAATTTGACAGCCCAGTTTGTGACAAAAAATGTCCTGTAGATGCATCCTCATTCAAAAGCTATACAGTGTGTGTGTTTGTGGGTGGGTGACTGGGTAGCAGTGGAGGCTGCTGAGGGGAGGACGGCTCATAATAATGGCTGGAACAGAGCGATTGGTATGGCATTGAACATTTTCATGGAAACAATGTGTTTTGATGTATTTGATACCATTCCGCTCCAGCCATTACCACGAGACCTTCCTCCCCAATTAAGGAGCCACCAACCGCCTGTGCTGGGTAGTGTGTGCATGTTAGTAGAGGCATGCTATGGGATGTGCACATTTAAAAAATGGTATTCATGACATTGTGTTTCAGATACCCTCTCACCAACTACACATTCGGGACCAAGGAGCCTCTGTATGAGAAGGACAGTTCAGTGGCAGCGCGGTTCCAGAGGATGCGGGAGGAGTTTGACAAGCTGGGCATGCGGAGGGCGGTGGAGGGAGTGCTTATTGTCCATGAGCACAGGTTGCCCCATGTACTGCTGTTGCAGCTGGGAACCACCTTCTTCAAACTGTAAGCACTACCACCAGCCAAGCACAGCCTGCAGGAGTTACACCAACAGTCTGTTTGTTTTTAATGTATGTGCATGCGTGTTTGTATGGTTCTCTTATAGGGTTGTCTATTTCTCTCTTGCAGGCCAGGTGGAGAGCTGAGCCCGGGGGAGGATGAGGTGGATGGGCTGAAACGCCTGATGACAGAGGTACGATACACATGCACTCACATCACACACACAGTCAAAGGAGGCCGGCCAAACAGAGTTGGAATCATAACTTGAGATTACATCCATCCTAGCATTCTCTTAGCTCTCGAAAACCCTTCTTCTCCGTATGTAGTGTTTTCAGCCATTACATTTGCCTACATTTGGCTCTGTGTAAACTACAATTTGGATGCTGTGTTTTAACGTTTAGAAATGTCAATCATCGCTTTCGAGAAAGAATCTTTCAAAAAAAAAAAACGTACTGGAACAGTTTTGCACAGATCCATACACTGTGTGCCTCCAGTTGATGAACTACACTTCCTCCCCAGTTAGCTTACACAGAGGTGTTCGGAGCACGCTAGATAGCTAATTAGCACAGGTGGCGGCCTATGTCTTCCGTCTGTCTTCAGTAAACAAGCGCTGTAACATGGAGATATGGCCGCGTGGGAACACAAACCTAACCCTATAATGGTGTGTAGTAATTTACCTTTTTTTATATATGGTATATGAAAGATCCATTCCTTATGTTTCCAAAACAGTACCGCAAGCGATGCGTATTAATGTTTAGAGCAAGCGTCAGGGGCTCTTAACAAAACTCCCCCGATCAAAAGATACTATCGTCAATAGGCGCTAAAGTAGTTAATGTCTATGAATGGGGTAGCATTCTCTAAGATCTTGCAGGATGCGGTGATGCCATAGTGATTGTCTTTACTGTGTCTTTGTCAGATCCTGGGCCGGCAGGACGGGGTGAAGCAGGATTGGGTGATCGATGACTCCATCGGAAACTGGTGGCGCCCCAACTTTGAACCCCCACAGGTGAGCACAAACCAACACACAGCACACCTTACACTGACATTTATCAAGGAGGAGATATTGAGCCTGCAGTAAAAACGTGTGTTAGATATGTGTTTGTGTCTGTTCTGCTGCAGTATCCCTACATTCCAGCCCACATCACTAAACCCAAGGAGCATAAAAAGCTCTTCCTGGTTCAACTGCAGGAAAAAGGTAAGTGCCCCTTAGCTAGTCAAAATCTTCTCTACATACTCTACACACAAATATATTGTGTGATATTTGCTTCTGTGTCTCTCAGCTCTGTTTGCAGTCCCAAAGAACTACAAACTGGTGGCAGCCCCTCTGTTTGAGCTTTATGACAACGCCCCTGGCTATGGGCCAATTATATCCAGCCTACCGCAGCTACTAAGCAGGTAGTGTGTGTGTTTTATATTGTGTCTAAAGCATGTTTGTGTTAGAATGAGTATGTGAGTGTATAAAGGGTGTGTGTGCGTGTGTGAGAGCTCAGGTATGCTGTATATTCATACAGTGCTGAAAAATATTTATTTCCTGTAGGTTCAACTTTATCTACAACTAAATGGTGTGAGAATGGGCACAGTGGCTGGCTGTCTCTGTGAGTGCAGCCATATATGGGTGAAATGAAGACATGGAGGGGAAGTAAAACAATGGGGCAATCAAAATAAAGCGACACAAAGCTACTCACCTCTGGCTTCCCGGTAAGGCTGAACAAAAAACCCACCACCTCAGGAGAAGGGACTGTAAATGTGCTGTTTACAATGATGGAAGAAAAAAATACTGTCTGACTTTTTGTTTGGATCTGGAAAATGTGAGTCGTTTAGTACATGATTAAACTGCAACCCAGTGTCTCAAGAATCAGATTGTATGCTCTTGCAGCCGAATACATTTGTTTTGATTAAAGAAACAACAGCATTGCGTTTCCTGTTGTGTTTTAACCTGTATTACGTCATGATTTATTTATTTTTTTCAAAAATAAATTAGGCTTTTCATGAAGACTGTCTTTTATAACAAGTGTGTTGATGACATCTTGGTTTTGGTGTATTGTTTTCACTATATATACTACCTGTTGGTGATGTCATTCAGAAACACAATGTCAACTTTCATTGCTATGCAGACGACACACAGCTGTACATTTCGATGAAACATGGTGAAGCCCCAAAATGGCCTAACCTGGAAGCCTCTGTTTTAGACATAAGTGGATGGTGGCAAATGCTTTACTTTTTAACTCTGACAAAGCTGAGATGCTTGTTCTAGGTCCCAAGAAACATTAGAGATCTGCTGTCGGATCTGAAAATGAATATCGATGGTTGCGCAGTCTCAAATAAAACTAATGGACCTCTGGGTTACTCTGGACCCTGATCTCTTTCGATGAACATATCAAAAATATTTCAAGAGCAGCCTTTTTCCATCTAAGTAACATTGCGAAAATCTGAAACTTTAGACTACTGCAATGCTCAACTCTCCCAAATACAACAGAAATACATATAATATACAGTGTGCAAATTTAGCAAGTTATGGAGGTAGGCAATAAAATAGGCTATAGTGCAAAATAATTACAATTAGTATTAACACTGGAATGATAGATGTGCAAGAGATGATGTGCAAATAGATACTGGGGTACAAATGAGCAAAATAGATAACAATATAGGGATGAGGTAGTTGGGCGGGCTAATTTCAGATGGGCTGTGTACAGGTGCAGTGATCGGTAAGGTGCTCTGACAACTGATGCTTAAAGTTAGTGAGGGAGATAAGTGTCTCCAGCTTCAGAGATTTTTGCAATTTGTTCCAGTCATTGGCAGCAGAGAACTGGAAGGAATTGCGGCCAAAGGAGGTGTTGGCTTTGGGGATGACCAGTGAGATATACCCGCTGGAGCGCAGACTACGGGTGGGTGTTGCTATGGTGACCAATGAGCTAAGATAAGGCGGGGATTTGCCTAGCAGTGATTTATAGATGGCCTGGAGCCAGTGGGTTTGGCGACGAATATGTAGTGAGGACCAGCCAACAAGAGCGTACAGGTCACAGTGGTGGGTATTATATGGGGCTTTGGAGACAAAACGGATGGCACTGTGATAGACTACATCCAATTTGCTGAGTAGAGTGTTGGAGGCTATTTTGTAAATGACATCGCCGAAGTCAAGGATCGGTAGGATAGTCAGTTTTACGAGGGCATGTTTGGCAGCATGAGTGAAGGAGGCTTTGTTGCGAAATAGGAAACCGATTCTAGATTTAACTTTGGATTGGAGATTCTTAATGTGAGTCTGGAAGGAGAGTTTACAGTCTAACCAGACACCTAGATATTTGTAGTTGTCCACATACTCTAGGTCAGACCCGTCGAGAGTAGTGATTCTAGTCGGGTGGGCGGGTGCAAGCAGCGTTCGGTTGAAGAGCATGCATTTAGTTTTACTAGTGTTTAAGAGCAGTTGGAGGCTACTGAAGGAGTGTTGTATGGAATTGAAGCTCGTTTCTACCCGGATAGCACTAAATAAACCAGCTAGTGCTAAATACGGCTGCTAGAATATTGACTACAACCCAAAAATGTGATCATATTACTCTAGTGCTAGCCTCTCTACACTGGATTCATGTAAGGGCTGATTTCAAGGTTTTACTGCTAACCTACAAAGCATTACATGGACTTGCTCCTACCTATCTCGCCGATTTGGTCCTGCCTTACATACATACACGTACGCTACGGTCACAAGACGCAGGCCTCCTTTTTGTTCCTTGAATTTCTAAGCAAACCGCTGGAGGCAGGGCTTTCACCTATAGAGCTAAATTGCCGATCTATGTAAGAGACGCAAACTCATCTCTTCAGTAGATCCTATGATTGAGTTTAGTCTGGTCCAGGGGTGCGAAGGTGAACGTCAAGGCACTGGAGAAACGAACCACCCTTGCTGTCTCTGCCTAGCCGGCTCCCCTTTCTCCACTGGGATTCTTTGACTCTATTACGGGGGCTGAGTCACTGGCTTGCTCGCGCTCTCCCATCCTTCCTGACCTCTGGCTCTTGTGGTGGGGAAGATTTTCGTGGGCTATACTCCGCCTTGTCTTAGGTTAGTAAATTAGTGGCCTGTTGGAATCTCTTTAGTGGTGTGGGGGCTGTGCTCTGGCAAAGTGGGTGGGGTTATATCGTGCCTTGTTTGCCCTGTCCGGGTAACTTTGGATGGGGCCACAGTGTCCCCTCGATTTTTAAGCATTTTGAACGAAGTGCCGTTTGGGAGCTTAGTGGGCCTGTTCTTTTAAGTGAAAGGAGCCAAATGAACCACCAACGTCCTGCTGCGTTTTTATGACGCAATTTAACCGCGACTCTTATTTCTACAAAAATGAATTGTAAACGACAGCGAGACGATAGCGACAATACAGAGAAAAGAAAGAAGAGAAAGAAACGTGAAGAGATAGCAGCACTTTCTCCGCTACTCGAGGACGAAGATGTGAAGAGGGGGGTGAAGGAAGCATGGTCGCAGCGAGCACAGTACTCTCATGGTCAGCTACTTGCTAGCTATCTTAGCTACATGTGTACACCAAGCACATGCTTTGGCTAGTCTTGTTTCTCTCTCGTTACATAGATGGTTATTTTATTGATAAGCTATTAGTCTCCCTACATATCAATATTGTCAGTCAAGTGCAAAGCTTTAGTCACAACTTTGCTTTCATGACCACTGATCTGAAAACACTAGAAGATGTGGGTCAAACTATCTACCTCCACAATTATCACTTTTCATGAAGTTTAACGTTTTTATTAGTCGTATCTACGGAATACGCATGGTATACATCATCCAACGAAATGCTTACTTGCAGGTTCCTTCTCGACAATGAAACAACAATAAGGAAAGAACATAAAGTAAATGGCTCCGTAGAATAGAAAAACATGTTTTAGCATAAGTATAATTAATGAAGGCACAATTTATAGCCAATATGTACACTTATATGGGGGGGTCTGGTAGCAGCAGTTGTGATGTGTGTGTAGCATTCGGAAAGTATTCAGAACCCTTGACTTTTTCCACATTTTGTTACAGCCTTATTCTAAAATGGATGAAATAGTTTTTTCCTCTTATCAATCTACACACAATACCCCATAATGACGAAGAAAAAATTATAAAAATCAAAAAATTAAATATTACATTTACATAAGTATTCAGACCTTTGGCAGCGATTACAGCCTCAAGTCTTCTTGGGTATGACACTACAAGCTTGGCACACCTGTATTTGGGGAGTTTCTCCCATTCTTCTCTGCAGATTCTCTCAAGCTCTGTCAGGTTGGATGGAGACTGTCGCTACACAGCTATTTTCAGGTCGCTCCATAGATGTTAGATCGGGTTCAAGTCCGGACTCTGCCTAGGCCACTCAAGGACATTGAGACTTGTCCCGAAGCCACTGCTGCGTTGTCTTGCCTGTGTGCTTTGGGCCGTTGTCCTGTTGGAAGGTGAACCTTCGTCCTAGTCTGAGGTCCTGAGCGCTCTGGAGCAGGTTTTCATCAAGGATCTCTCTGTACTTTGCTCCGTTCATGTTTCCCTCGATCCTGACTAGTCTCCCAGTCCCTGCCGCAGAAAAACATCCCCACAGCATGATGCTGCCACCATCATGCTTCATCGTAGGAATGGTGCCATGTTTCCTCCAGACGTGACGCTTGGCATTCATGCCAAATAGTTCAATCTTGGTTTCATCAAACCATGGTCTGAGAGTCCTTTAGGTGCCTTTTGGCAAACTCCAAGTGTGCTGTCATGTGCCTTTTACTGAGGAGTGGCTTCCATCTGGCCACTCTACCATAAAGTAGTGATTGGTGGAGTGCTGCAGAGACGGTTGTCCTTCTGGAAGGTTCTCTCATCTCCACAGAGGAACTCTGGAGCTTTGTCAGAGTGACCATCGGGTTCTTGCTCCCTGACCAAGGCCCTTCTCCCCCGATTGCTCAGTTTGGCCGGGCGGCCAGCTCTAAGAAGAGTCTAGGTGGTTCCAAACTGCTTCTATTTAAGAATGATGGAGGCCACTGTTTTCTTGGGGACCTTCAATGCTGCTGAAATTTTTTTGGTACCCATCCTCAGATCTGTGCCTTGACACAATCCTGTCTCTGAGCTCTATGGACAATTCCTTCGACCTCATGGCTTGGTTTTTGCTCTGACATGCACTGTCAACTGTGGGACCTTATATAGACAGGTGTGTGCCTTTCCAAATCATGTCCAATCAATTGAATTTACCACAGGTGGACTCCAATCAAGTTGTAGAAACATCTCAAGGATTCACATTGAGGGTATGTGTCACTACTGTTACTCCTATCTATGACTGTAAGTCGCTTTGGATAAAAGCGTCTGCTAAATGGCATATTATTATTATATTATGATCAATGGAAACAGGATGCACCTGAGCTCAATTTCAAGTTTCATAGCAACGGGTCTGAATACTTATGTAAATAAGGCATTTCTGTTTTTTATTTGTAATACATTTGTAAACATTTCTAAAAACCTGTTTTTGCTTTGTCATTATGAGGTATTGTGTGTAGATTGAAGAGGATTTAAAAAATGTAATCCATTTTAGAATAAGGCTGTAACATAATGTGGAAAAAGTCAAGGGGTCTGAAAACTTTCCGAATGCACTGTATATGTGTATGGGTCTGTGTGGGTGTGTGCATGTGTGCTAAGATGCGGAGAATCAGAACAGGTGGTCAGTCCAGTTCAAGTGTTCAGCAGTCAGATGGCTTGTAGATAGAAACTGTCACTGAGCCTGTTGGTATCTGACCTCAAGCTCCGTTACCGTCTCCTCGTGGCTGGGGTGTGTAGGGGTCCTTTATGATGCTGCGTGCCTTCCTCAGACACCATTTCGAATAGATGTCCTGGATGGGTGGGAGCACGGTCCCAGTGATGTACTGGGCCATCTTCACCACCTGCTGGAGGGCCTTGCGTTTGTAGATGGAGCAATTCTCATACTAGGCTGTGATGCAACTGGTCAGGACGCTCTTGATGGTGCAGCGGTAGTATTTGAAGAGGACCTGGGGCAGCATGCCGGGTATCTTCAGCTGCCTTAGAAAGTAGAGACGCTGTTGCGCCCTCTTGACAAGAGTGGTGGTGTTATTGGTCCATGACAAGTCCTCGGTGATGTGGACGCCAAGGAACTTAAAACTTGTGACTCTCTTTCTGCTGCAGTCCTATTGATGTGGATCGGGGCGTGTTCCCTCCTCTGCTTCCTGAAGTCAACAATCAACTCCTTTGTTTTGCTGACATTGAGGGAGAGGTTGTTGTCATGAAACCACAATGCCAATTCTCGTACCTCCTCCCTGTAGGCTGACTCGTCATTGTTTGTTATACAGAAGATAGCCCTGCTTGGTAAAATACTAAGTCCATATTATGGCAAGAACAGCTCAAATAAGCAAAGAGAAACAACAGTCCATCATTACTTTAAGACATGAAGGTCAGTCAATACGGAAAATGTCAATAACTTTGAAAGTTTCTTCAAGTGCAGTCGCGATGGAAATGGATCTGGATCTGTTGTAGTGGTAGGCAAATTGGAGTGGGTCCAGTGTGCCTGTCATGCTGGCCTTGATATGGGCCATGACCAGCTTCTCGAAGCACTTCATGATGACCGTGGTGAGTGCGAAGGGGCGATAGTCATTTGGGCATGTCACCTTGTTTTTCTTGGCCACTGGGACGATGGTGGTCTCCTTAAAAGACGTGTGTACTACAGCTTGGGACAGTGACAGGTTGAAGTTGTCCGAGAAGATGCCCGCCAGCTGGTCAGCACACATTCTGAGGACGCGGCCAGGTATGCCATCTGGGCCGGCGGCTTTGTGAGTATTAACTTTTTTGAGAGTTTTCCTCAAGTCAGCCTCGGAGAGCGAAAGCACCTGGTCGTCCAGAGCAGCGAGAGTCTTCCTGGTTGGCTCGGTATTGTCTGCCTCGAAGAAAGCATATCATGTGTTAAGGTCGTCTGGGAAGGAGGCTTCGTGGGCACCGCACAGCTGGACTTTAAGACATGAGGTCAGTCAATACGGAAAATGTCAATAACTTTGAAAGTTTCTTCAAGTGCAGTCGCAAAAAACATCAAGCGCTATGATAAAACTGGCTCTCATGAGGACCGCCACAGGAATGGAAGACCCAGAGTTACCTCTGCTGCAGAGGATAAGTCCATTAGAGTTACCAGCCTCAGAAATTGCAGCCCAAATATATGCTTCACAGAGTTCAAGTCACAGACACATCTCAACATCAACTGTTCAGAGGGGACTGTGTGAGTCAAGCCTTCATGGTCGAATTGCTGCAAAGAAACCACTACTAAAGGACACCAATAAGAAGAAGAGACCTGCTTGGGCCAAGAAACACGAGCAATGGACATTAGACCGGTGGAAATGTGTCCTTTGGTCTGGAGTCCAAATTTGAGATTTTTGGTTCCAACCGCCGTGGCTTTGTGAGATGTAGGTGAATGGATGATCTCTGCATGTGTAGTTCTCACCGTAAAGCATGGAGGAGGAGGTGTTATGGTGTGGGGGTGCTTTGCTGGTGACACTGTCTGAGATTTATTTAGAATTCAAAGCACACTTAACCAGCATAGCTACCACAGCATTCTCCAGTGATATGCCATCCCATCTGGTTTGGGCTTAGTGGGACTATCATTTGTTTTTCAACAGGACAATGACCCAACACACCTCGAGGCTGTGTAACGGCTATTTTACCAAGAAGGAGAGTGATGGAGTGCTGCATCAAATGACCTGGCCTCCATAATCCCCCGACCTCAACCCAATTGAGATGGTTTGGGATGAGTCGGACGGCAGAGTGAAGGAAAAGCAGCCAACAAGTGCTCAGCATATGTGGGAACTCCTTCAAGACTGTTGGAAAAGCATTCCAGGTGAAGCTGGTTGAGAGAATGCCAAGAGTGTGCAAAGCTGTCATCAAGGCAAAGGGTGGCTATTTGAAGAATCTCAAATATCAAATATATTTTGATTTGTTTAACACTTTTTTGGTTACTACATGATTCCATATGTATTATTTCATAGTTTTGATGTCTTCACTATTATTCTACAATGTAGAAAATAGTACAAATAAAGAAAAACCCTGGAATGAGTAGGTGTGTCCAAACTTTTGACTGGTACTGTATATCAAATCAAAATTTATTTGTCACATGCGTAGACCTTACCGTGAAATGCTTACTTACAAGCCCTTAACCAACAATGCAGTTCAATAAATAGTTAAGAAAATATTTACTAAATAAACTAAAGTAAAAAATATATATATATAAATAAAAAGTAACACAACTAAAGTAAAAAAAAAAAAAGTAAAGTAAAATTAAAAATTAAAAGTAATATATATGGCACCCAAAGGGAAGTCACAAAAGGGTGTCACAAAAAAGTATGTTTTTGGAGTATTGAGAAGGTTTACCAGCTTCCTATGTGCTGTTAGAACTGGTTATAACCTCAAACGAAAATGAGCCAGAGGCAACAACTAGCTCTATAAGACATACTTTAGTTAATGTTACATTTGTACACATAATTAGTGTTAAAACATTGTTTATATTGCTAGACCACTCGTTGAGTGTTCCTCTGGTGTTCCTCTTAAGGGGGCCTGGAGCTGGACTGCCACCCTTTCCCTCACTGCATCATCAGGAACTTCATCCAGAGTGAGAGCTTTACAGAGAACCTACAGAGGGAGCTTCTAGACCTCAACTTCCATGAGAAGTCCAACGACCTGTACAAATTTAATCAGGTGAAAAAGGAAAACAGATAGGAATACAGTTTGGAAACGGGTTACTTCTTGTTCATAATGTTTCTTTACTCTGCCTTTTGGAGTTATGACATTGGGAGTTATGACACTCATTGACAATTTATCTTACAGTCAGATGACCTGAAAAAGAGAAAAGAGCCTCACATCACAGGCTTGAGGTAATTTGTATGTGTGTGTGTGTGAGAGTGATTTAGGGAGGTAGAGAGAACATGTTTGCTTTGTGTGTGTGTGTGTAGCAGATGGGGATCTGTGAAACTCATTCCTCAGCCTGAAGTGTCTCCATTTGCGCGTGCCTCCACAAGTGTACCATTTGCACGACTGGGTAAGACGCTTCAGGAGGGCGGTCACGTGTTTGCGAGGCAGAGGTCCTGAGTTCGAGCCTCGTTATGCGCTGAATCAGGGGAAAGCTGTACTCACTAAGCAAGCAGCGTGATGTCCTTTACATGTGCATGCTCTCAGTTTGGCTGTTTTTGAGCTTTGTGTGTGTTTTCAGGGCAGCACTATTTGGGCGGTTTCGATCCTGGCTGGGGGAAGTGTTGGGGGTAGAACTGGAGCCCACAGTGGACATTTCCTGTGCCAAGTACCAATACACTGGTGAGCCACATGTTTTTATCTCTACTCTTCAAAAAAGAAATGAGCAAGCCTTTATATTAGCATGCTCCTCCTCCATCTCTAATAAAGCTATAGAAGAAAAGAGCAGAAGCACTTAGCTATCCCCCAAGATATCCTGTTCTGCCCACTGCATATTTAGTCTATATGGACATGCATATTTCTGGAATTAATGATGAAATATGCATGATCTGTCTGTTACAAATCACTCTCTCTCTTTATCTATTGTGGTCCTCTGTAGCTCAGCTGGTAGAGCACGGCGCTTGTAACGCCAAGGTAGTGGGTTCGATCCCCGGGACCACCCATACACACAAAAAAAATGTATGCACGCATGACTGTAAGTCGCTTTGGATAAAAGTGTCTGCGAAATGGTATATTATATATTATATTATCTATGCCCTCTCTATCTCTCTGTCGGTAGATGTTCTGTTGTGTCATGATGATGAGTTGGAGGGGAGGCGTGTTGCCTTCATCCTCTACCTTGTCCCTCCATGGGAGTGCAGCGACGGAGGAACCCTGGATCTCTTCAGCACAGATGGTAAGTATTGGTGTGTGGCTGTGTGTGTGTTGGCGTGAGTGAAATAATTAGTGTTTTAACTTATAATCTAATTTGTGCATAGGTCACTTCCAGCCCCATAGTGTGGTGAAGTCTCTGGTGCCCAGCTGGAACACTCTGGTTCTCTTCGAGGTTTCACCCGTCTCCTTCCACCAGGTAGTTCTTCCTATACCACCAGGTAACAACCACACGCTTCTCACCTGTCCAGGTAGCAGTAGTGCAATCTACGGATGGCTGTCTCTCTGTGTGTTTGTCCAGGTTGCAGAGGTGTTGTCAGAGGATAAGTGTCGTCTCTCTCTGAGTGGCTGGTTTCACGGGCCGTCTTTGGAGCGACCACGTCGTCACATCGAGCCCCCCTTCCCAAGGAGCCCCCACCTTCCCAGAGATGTAAGTGTGTGTTTGTTCTGAAAGAGTGAACTCACAGCCGTAGAGCAAGGATGTAGTCACATGAAATAAATAAATGTGCGTGTGTGTGTGCATTTTACCTGAGTGTGTATTTTGTGTCTGTTCACAGGAGACACTGCTGCTAGAGTGGCTGAATCCACTGTATCTGGACGTTGACTACCAGTCACAGGTTCAGCAAGAGTTCGAGGACAGCTCTGAGATCCAGCTCAAGAATTTCCTCAAAGTAACCCATTACTCTACCTCTTCATTTCTCCATCTCTCTCCTGCTGCCTCTCTCCTGGTTGACAGTGTCTCTCTCTACAGGAGGAGAAGTTTAAGGAGGTGAGTGAAGCACTGCGATCGACTGAGGTCCAGTGGACCAAGCGAGGTCCTCCCAACAGGAGGTGAGCCTGTCCAGTCATTTGTTTGTGTGAGTGAGAGAGATATCCCTAAGGTGTTATGATGCGTGTAAATGTATATGATGTGTGTAAATATTTTTGTGTGTATGTGCATTGTGCAGATGTTATGAAGTGGCTTCGTTAGAGTCCTTCCCCCAGTGTGTGAATGCATGCTGGGAGCTGCTGTGCTCGGAGGCGTTCTTCCTGCTTCTGTCCAACTTCACTGGCCTGAGACTGCACTACCTCAGCCCCAGTGACGAAGACGAGGAGGAAGAGAAGGACCAAGAAGATGAGGAAGAGAGAGAAGCCACAGGGTCATCTGGGGACACACCATCAGCTAATAAGAATAACAAAGGTGTGTTGCTTGTTTGTGTCTGTATGTGTTTTTTTGTGTGTGTGGGTTTGTGTATGTGTGTTGACCCCTGTGTGTATCCTCAGATCTGTGTGTTTGTGAGCCTTGACCTTTCTGTACCTCCTCAGGACTGAATATGCCTTTGTAAATATGTGTTGACCCCTCTGTGTGTATCCTCAAGAGCCGAGCACGCCGGTGTGTGTTGGAGAGCTACGGCGCTGGGCTCACGGGGGCTACACACTACTGCACGATGGAGACGCATCAAGAGCGGAGTACGCCCTTGACCTACTGCTGCCCCTGAGCTGTCCTGGTCAGTCACACACGCTTAATCAGACACTCATGCTTAAGCACACACACAGACACACAATGTAGGTTAGAATCATAGTTTTAGGAACTATTTGCAAAGTTGTAAGTGCAAATGTTTTCATACACAATATCAACTCCAAAGTGTGATAACTGTCTTTTTATTTATCAGACTGGCAGACTGAGTTTGGGGGCTTCACCTCTTACGTTGCTAATGAAGAGGATGAGGAGGTGAGTGATGTCACTGTTCAAATGGCAACTGATTAACTAGATTCCTATGATTGTCATGGTTGTCATTTCTCATCGGTGTCCTCCTGTCCGCAGCTCCTGACGGTGTATCCAGAGGAGAACTCCCTGGCTCTTGTATACAGGGACAAAGAGACTCTCAAATTTGTCAAACATATCAATCACAGAAGCTCCACCCTACCTATTGGTGATCCTTGTAGGAGAGCAGTTTATGACTTCTCCTTTGTGTATTATGAATGAGTTTTTGTGTGGGTGTTGAGGTGTGTGTGTTTGTAATATAACATCACTGTGAGGGGTGGTTGGTCTACTCTAAAGCTCCATGATGTCATGTGTTCTTCATTAAAGTGAACAGGCAGGGATACCCTGTTACCATGGTTACCTGGTTTTAGTCGGTAGCCACAGAGTAACGCAGATAAAAAATTGTCTACAGTGACAGCATTTGGTAGCATTTTGTGTTCATTATCGTGTGTCATTATTGTGGCGCTGTATGGCTGAGTTGGTAGAGCATGGCGTTAGCAACGCCAGGGTTGTGGGTTTGTTTCCCGGGGCTACCCAGACATAAATGTATGCATGCATGACTGTAAGTCGCGTTGGATAAAAGCATCTGCTAAATGGAATATAATATTATTATTATATATTGCTAGCTTATTTGTATGTGTCTGTAGTATGTATTCAAACTATCTTACAGTGTTCATGCTGTCACTGTAAAAATGAATCTGTCTTCAAGGAAAGTAAACTACAGACCAGTGATTGAACACCGTCCACTCCCATGTTAAATTCTTCACTTGGATACCAAACTGAATAACAAATTAGTAATAACAGCTAGATGTTTGGCAGATATCTGATTTCACTAATCTTTTGTATTTATTTTTTATTGGCCCGTCCCCTCTTCTTACAGCTTTTGTTGTTGTTACATTTATATATGACTCATATTTTACATACATGGCACTTTTTTTACACAGTAGTTACATAGCAAAATATAGTTATTTGATATACATTGCATAGTACTTAAACACATCGGTATACATTATATAGTTTTCAGTCACCTTAGTGAAAATATTGAAATAATGGTCGCAATCTGACTGTTAAATTTCGACAAAGGATGGAGCTACAGATTGTTATACCAGATAATGTGAGTTAACCAGAGTTTTTTGGTATCCATTAGTGGGAGATACAGGTTAGGTACTGTTTGGTGTAGCACAGATCATTTTTGACCAACCTTAACTTTGCGACACTATCTTTGTTCTCGATTCGGACAAACGTATCTTCTAAAATGTCTGTGTCCAATTGCAAGTGGTACGAAAATGCTCCATTATAAATACATGTTTTGCTCCATTAAGTAATCTAACGATGTGTAAGCCGCAATCTTATCTATTTCAAATCTTCTCCCATCGATCGAGATAGGTGTGTCATCATGACAACTAGGAAACTGGGACATTTTTGACGAATTAGCAAATTGGAAATGTATGAGTTTCCTAGTTCCAACTAGCATGTGAAAGCGGCATAATCTCTCGTGGACAGATGAAATGGCGAGAAACTGTCAAGGTTCACAGAATGTTGTTATTACTAGCAGCAGTAGTTCCTGGTTTTGGGTTTTCATCATTGATTACTTGGACGAATCAAGATTGGGCGAAGGCGGTGCTTAAACTGGTGCTGTTATTTTCAAGCCCGTGTGCGGTTGATAAACGATTGGCTATATCTGTAGCTAGGATCAACAGTGAAATATAGAGAATGTGTTTGTGATTATTACAATTTTGCAGCTGTGATCAAGGAGGATACTTGAGGATGAACAGTAGTCTAACCCGTTTAATGTGTGTGGGTGTTTGACAATAACACAGCACCACAGCTATATTTCAGCACTAGGGTTTATTCATCGATCCTGATATTTTAGCTTTGCACACTGTGAAGCACTGGCATATCAGATTCTGAGAGAGGAAGAGGAGAGGGCTAAAGTCTGTCTTTTGAGTTCACCTGTCGGAATTTTTCCTGGAAGTGGCTCTCTGATTAATAGTGAGGCCATTTCCTGTCAAACCTAGATAAGACCTACAGTTTACTGTCAGACCTTATGTGTGCCTTGCTCACTTCATTTTTTGTTATTGCTCCTTTCTATTCTGTTATAGCCTCCATCTGGCCTGTTTTTGTCCCCAAGCAGTTGCCATAGTTTCAGTCTGTAACAGAGGTTTTCATTTGAAAGAGAACATTTATTTCCTTGTTAAATGTATCCTACCTTCTCTGAAATAATCACTTGTCTGACAATGGATGTGCATGTAAGGCACCCCCTTAAATTCAAAATGGCGCAGTGATTACTTTGAGGAAGGATTATACATGTCAACAGCATTTAAACCGGGCAAATTAATAACATCACCCCTGGACCTGGTTCCAAAAACCCAAAATAACAGTACATATATCTATATAGGCCTAAATAAAATAACCTCTTTCTTATTTTGTATTTTCCTTCTCACTCGATTCCTTTTGCCTTTAGTGATGATATCATTTCAACATTGTAATTAGCTACACAGTTGCAAGCAAATGGCTACAGCAGTAAAGCTACTTCCTTCCCGTAGAGATACGTGATTCTAACCAATAGGGAAGCGGCATGTTCTTTCTCACCAATCACAGTGCCTCGAGGTTCCCCTGTAGCCAATCGCCTGTCAGGAAATTATTACTGTATCTGTACTTGTTCCTCTGGTCAGGACGCGTTGCAGTCCTTACAAAGTTTTTTTTCTTGTAAGGTAAGTTAACAATACAATTATGATTTTACTTTAAACCCAAAATGAAATTACAGCCTATACAACAGTTAATGCCACAAATGACAGTAAACAAATACATAACAGTACAAGTCAATCATGAAAGAAAATGTTCTCAAGTTGCTATGATTCCTTTCTATTGTTGATTAGGCTACTGTTTTGTAACAACTTTAATGTATAATGATTAAAACTTCACCAGTAGACTTTTGTATTATTGAAGTTCAATAGGCGGTGTTTGGTGGAGCTTAATCTACTATAAAGTAGGCCTACTTTTCTAGTTTCCTAAAAGTCTGAACCGCACTGTGTCCAACGTGGTCTCAGAACATTTCGTATTATTCTGTACGTAAATGCGAGAAGCTCCATCCATTTAGAATGACATGTTACATTTCGTATGGTATGTATTAATTTGTGGAAGCCATCATCAATTTTGTATGATATGTTACTAATGACTATTAATATGATATGTTACGAATTGCAATTCATACAATATGGTCTGAATTTCCAAAATGAATGATATGCTACAAATTTCAATTTGTTGTGACTAAAGTTAGCTAGGTGGCTAATGCTAACATTAGCTAGCATAGGGGTTAGGGTTAGGGGTTAAGGTTGGGAGGTAGGTTAAAGGGTTAGGGAAGAGTTAGGTTAGGGGAAGGTTTCGCTAAAACAGTTATGGTTAGGGGAAGTTACTAATTAGCTAAAATGCTAAAGTTGTCAGTGAGATTCGAACACACTTCGCATTATACGCCCACCCATCCACCCCGACCAACCACCCTCCTTTAGTTTTTGCCTTAAGTAACCTATCTTATGTAACCATACCAAATGTAAATGATAAGAAGCTGTCTGTGCTCTTTTAATGTCCTTTACTACTGAATAGTGTTGGTTCCAGGTGCGTAGGAGTCAAAATAAGAATACTGAAAGAGATGGAGAACCGCACACTGTCGAACAAATGAATACATCCTAAACTGAGGCTTGAATGCTAAATATAGATGTTTATTAGAACATTATGATGGCCAAAAAATCTAACAAAACACCAAAGTTTCGGCCTTAGGCCATTCTCAGTGTAAATATACCTTTCATTTATTTGGGCACCATGATGTTCTAACATCTTTATTTTGTATTCAAGCCTCAGTTTTGGATTTATTAATTTTTTCGACAGTGTGCGGGTCTCCATCTCTTTCACAATACCAAACGTAACATATCAGAAAATTTTGAGAGCAGTGTGCGGGTCTCCATCTCTTTCACAATACCAAACGTAACATATCAGAAAACTTTGAGAGCTCCTGAGTGGCGCAGTGGTCTAAGGCACTGCATCGCAGTGCTAACTGTGCCACTAGAGATCCTGGTTCGAATCCAGGCTCTGTCGCAGCCGGCCGCGACCGGGAGACTCATGGGCGGCGCACAATTGGCCCAGCGTCGTCCAGGGTAGGGGAGGGAATGGCCGGCAGGGATGTAGCTCAGTTGATAGAGCATGGCGTTTGCAACGCCAGGGTTGTGGGTTCGATTCCCATGGGGGGCCAGTATAAAGAAAAAAAAAGGTATTCACTGGCTGTGAGTCGCTCTGGATAAGAGCGTCTGCTAAATGACTAAAATGTAAATGTAAATATCATACTAATTTGAGTGATACGGATTTACATTTACTATGTTACGTCTAGTCTGAGACCAGTCTGCTGTGTCATACTCTTGTCTCATAGCAATAGAGAATGTAATTAAATTCCTGTCATCATGTACATGTGACTCACGGGACTCGCGTTTTCACAGAACTGCATATCCCATAGTGCTACCTGTCTTGTAGGCCCAGTAGTCTAACCCAATGATGTATATAAACCCGAGATTGCTGATGCAATGTATTGGCCAATTAGAGGTTTTGAAGCCACCGGTTGGCCTTATTGGCACTCTGCAGAAAAGCAGTATTTACATAGGAATTAATGGAATTCTTCAGTATTTCATTTAAATGTTTCAAGGGCAAAATTACATGTATTCAAGTATTTTGTTGTAGTTCTTTCTAAAAATGATACTTTAAGGAAAATGTTTTGATATATTTTCATTTTTTATTGGTATGCTTAGCTCACATAATATGATTCAAAAGTATGCATTAAGGTGTCTGTAATAGAATAAACGTGTCAAAAACTAATAAATGCATTCTAAAATGTTTGTAGATTCAAAACAGCGCCCCCTGTCAGTCATCTAGTATATAGTCTAGCTCGCTAGTTTGTAGTCTTAAAAACCGGAAATGAGTTAACTCTGTTTCATTCAGCCATTCCTATGGGGAAAATTAATGGGAAAATAATTGGATTTTGGGATAAACACCAAAAATAAAGTCTGAGGTAACACAGGCTTAGGAGAGTTTATACATTTTGTTCTATGAGATAATATTAGTTAGTTAACATGGCTTTTATGAATTATGAAGCATTTATGTGTGTTATGTGTTTATTATACCGTAAATGCTTCAAAATTCACAAAAAGGGACGTTAGCTGATAAATAAAAAATTATCTCATAGAACAAAACAAATAAGATCTCCTAAGTCTGTGTTTACCACAGGCCTTATTTTCTGCGTTTATTGAAAAACCCTCCATTCATTTTCCCGTAAGCTTTGCCAAACTAACCATTAATATTGCTCTCTATAGACTGTACAATATAAATATTCACTACAAAAAAAGAAACCAACCAATTCAACTTGTTTGGCAGTCTGTACCTTGTAGACTGATTCTCGTTTTCATCCAAATCAAAGGAATGGCATTCACTGAATTAACCCAATGTCCAGGCAATCCTTTGGTTGACATATGGCAGGATA